ATGTAGAAATAGTTGATGTTGCATGCACCTACAGGCTGAGTGTACCAGATGTACAGTACTGACCCTTCTACAAGGAAAAAAAGCATTCTGATTAACGATTAATGATATTTCACAATACCTGCAGTGATGCACTGTTCTGCATTCACACTTCTGTGTGTGCTGATAACACAAGTCAGGTGTAAACCTGATATAATTATCATCGTTAGTGATATGAGCTCAAATTAGCAAAAACTTAGTTAGAATGTAGTTTAAGCATAACTGTTTTGCACTTAAGCATTCAAAAATGATTAATATGAATACTATTTAAAGATTGTTGATGGTTGTGTAGGACTAGATGTTGATATCCCTAATTGCATTCCTGAGACACTACTAAGACTGTGGGATGGTCAAGTTCAATTCAATTTCAATTCAATTTTATTTGTATAGCGCCAATTCATAACAGAAGTTATCTCAGGACACTTTTCAAATAGAGCAGGTCTAGACCAAACTCTTTAACATTAATTACAGAGACCCAACAGTACCACCATGAGCAAGTGACTGATGGCATCCTCTGGGTTATCAAGTGGGTGCCCTCCTTCCTAGATGTTTCGCTGATAGGCCCACGACACCTCCAGAGGGTTCAGCAGTGATTCCCAGCATCCCAGGTTCACCCCCTAGATCCCATCAACTCACTTGAGGGCCCAGGTGGAGTCTTTCCTCTTTATCCACAGCCACTGACTCCCCTTTTCAGCAGCTCTGGAGAGGTCCTTGACTGCCTGCCGATGGGCCTTCCCTCGCACTCCCATCTCCCACAGTAGCCTGGGTGTTGAGGTGGCTACAAACCCTCTGCAGCCTACCTCCACTGGTCGGACCCTCGCTGTCCAGCCTCGTTGTTGTGCATCGGCTGCAAGCTCCGTGTACCTCAGCTTCTTGCGCTCGTAGGCCCCTCTACTGCGCTCTCCCAGGGGACCGTGAGCTCGATGATGGATACGTGCTTGAGCGAAGCTGACCACGGCACACAGTCTGGTCGCAGGTTGGTGGATGCGATTACAGTTGGGAAGCACAGCTTTTGGTTTAAGTCTACCAGCAACTTCCAATCACGTGCCCTGCTCAACTGCCCAGCATCTGTCTTGAGGTGGTGAGACTGGCTTGACCTTTGCCCCCAGCCTGCCAGCTGGATGATGGGGGTTGAAGGGCATTCACACTCATCCGTCGCGTTTCCAGCACTGCTGCAAGACACTTTAGCACCTGGTTGTGTCGCCAGGTGTAACGGCCTTGGGTGAGGCTCGTCTTGCAGCCCACTAAGATGTGCTTCAGTGTTGCTGAGTCGGGTAGAATGAGCATGTGGGGTTTTCGCCATACCACTGGCTGAGGTTCTTGGGAGATGGCAGGACAGCCTGAGATGCCTGCTTTCTGGATTGAGCTGTCAATCAGATGGTTTCTTTGGAGGTATCCTGCCAGCCTGTGAGAAACCACACTGAAGAAGATTTTTCCCTCAATGTTTAGAAGGCTGATCTGGCAGAATTGGCCAATCTCTGATGAGGCCTTTTCCTTGGGGATAAGGATCCCTCCAGCTCTCCGCCAGGACGTTGGTATCTCCTTCTTTTGTCACAACTCTCGTGAGCTTCCAGAGGAATCCCAGGACATCTGGTGCGTTTTTGTAGAGCCTGTATGGAACTCCGTTGGAACCTGGAGCTGATGCGGCCCTTGCTCTCTGCACAATTTTCTGTACTTCACTCCATCTGGGTGGGCTGATGTCGAGGTGGTGTTCCGGTGGCATGTCAGGTGGGAGCGTAACCTCTTCGTTGTGCCAGTCATCTGTGCAGGAATTTTTCAGATGTTCCTCCAGGTCGGGCTTTGGCACTGAAAGACTTCCACTCTTCTCCTTTGTGAAGAGACTCTTCACAAACTTGAAGGCTTCTGCCTTTCCCCAGAAGGTTTTCAGCTCTCCTCAGTGATGCAAGCCTACTCGGGATCTCTCCCTGCAGCAGGTTTATGCCCTCCTTCTCCTCCTCTGTGGCCCTCCTCCATTGCTTCTTCAGCTGCCTTCTCTCTTTGACTAGGCGATCTATTTCTCTCTGCCTTCTGGACTTGGTAGGGATTGACGGAGTAGATCGCTTGCCTTCGACCACTCCGAACCTTTCCACTCCATAGGCGTAGATAAGATCCCCCATTTTCCCCAACTTCTTCATGGTGGTGCCTCTAAACCCTTCTAGGATGTTGCAGAGATCAGTGTTGACCTCCTTCCACCGTGTCTTATCACAGGATTTTGGCCATTTGACTAATGGCCTTCGCCCCTGGATCTTCTTCTCTGCTGCAGGTTGTGATGGGTTGGGTTCCAGTTGCTCTTCCGTGCCTGGTTCTTCCTCCTGAGGGACAGGGACGTTGATGTCCTGCAGACTGTGGTTTTGTCCTGCTGTATTTTCAGGCCTTTGGTGGAAGTAACCTTTTCCCAGCCACATATGCAGCTCTGGAGAGTGTGTCCTGCTGTAGCTGTTGGAGCCTCAGGTATGCTGATCATCATTCTCGTAGTCTGTTCCTGTATTCGTTACCGGGTTGTCTGCCGACGAGCCATTTTCCGCCCCCGCTCTCGCTGACTCAAGGGATAATTCCTCTTTGAACTTTTCGTTGCGATGTGTGGGTGGGACCGTACACCGTTTGTGCCAGGCCCCGCCACCATGGGTAGCTAGCCCATGGCGGCCCCGATGGGGTCTTTTCCCTCCTGCCAGCTGTCTTTCCATGCTGTCGCAAGGTCTTTCCCTTGTAGTCAGCTGCCCTTTCACAGCAGTCACTGGTTCACCAGATGATCAGATCTGTTTAGTCTGTGTACACTCTGTGTAAGACTAGATGTTGATATCCCTAATTGCATTCCTGAGACACACAAAAGAAGAATTTTGTTATTTTATTATTCATTTGCTATAATGGGATTTGGGTGTTACTCGCTTTTTATTTTTAATACAGTTGGGCTTAGATAATGTGGCTGATAAATGCATTTGTTAAAAATCTCTCTGTCTGAATACTCATGCCTTTTTCTCTAGTGACAGTTACAAGCAATGTTGTTAGTTATTCAAATATTATCACAAGTAGTAGGAATGACGGCAGGACTACAGAAACACCCAAGTTCTAAAACAGCTTCTTTTTTTTTTCTTTCTCTACAATGTTCCATTTATACAGGATTATCTATGGTCGTGATATATTAATAAAACAACAATAAAATTGATCCAGTAGGTTCAAGAACTAAGTATATTGAAATATTGTCCTTAATTATACCCCTTGAGCCTTGACACAAATTAATAAACAAATATTTTGGACCTAAAAATTTGGAGAAGTTGTGTATCTAACCTACCTAATAACTGATAGGACATAGCAGTAAAGGGTGATATGACTAAAAATTACACACACACATACATACATACATACATACATACATACATACATTCATTCACACACATACACATAAGATCTCCAAAAATGTAATTCATAATAATAAATAAAAAAGACATCTGACACAATACAAATCAGTCCAGTGTAATTTGAACATTCCCCAGCCTGACTTAGACCACCCTGGTCGAGCCAGCTGGAGGAGGAGTTGTACAGTCTTTTTGCAGCAGGCAGAAAAGATCTCCTGTATCGCTTCTTAGTGCACTGTAGTTGTAATAGTCTGTTGCTAAAGGTGCTTTTCTGCTCTGCCACAGTGCCATGTAGGGGGTGGGAGGGGTTGTCGATAATGGCCAGGAGTTTGGACCTCATCCTCCAATTGACCACCTCTTCCACAGTATCCAGGGTGACGCCGAGGACAGAACCAGATTTACTAATAGCTTATTCAGCCTCTTGGCATCACCCTCTTTGATGCTGCTCCCCCAGCATACTATTGCCAACAGCAATGCACTGGCCACCACTGACTGATAGAACATGTTTAACAGAGTCCTGCACATGCCGAAAAACCTGAGCCTTCTCAGCAAACAAGAAGGCCCCTATTGTACAGGACATCTGTGTTACCAGTCCAGTCTAGTTTATTGTCCAAGTGCACCCTCAGGTACTTCTAGCTCGGGGCAGTCCAACTCTCCACCTAGTCCGACACACATCCCTGCAGCTGTACAAACTGTGGCCTGTTGGTCAGATAGTTTGTAATTCAGGAAACAATGTGATGGTCTATCTGTATCCTCAGCAGCTTATCCGCAAGTAGTGAGGGCTGTATGGTGTTAAATGCACTTGGATTTCTTTTCTTTGGTACCGGTACAAGACAAGATAAGATGTTTTTTTCATTGATGGAACCTTAACCAGATTGAGGCTCAAAGTTAAAGGGGTACTGAAGTACACCACGCAGCTGGTCTGCGCAGACTTTGAGCACCTTCCAGGCTCAAACCGTGAGGGCCTACAGCCTTCCTGGTGCACAGTTTCCCCAGTTCTCTCCTGACCTGAGCCACACTGATGATGAAGCTGGAGCAGGGGGTTCTTGTTGGGGGGGCAGTTCGGAGTGTCTGTCTCTGTCCTGACAGTAGTACATGAGACAGATAATCTGTGAGATTTTTTACATACTATCTGTCTCATATACAACACTTAGGATATTACTGCAGCTTTACTGAAAACAAACATTGTCAGAAAATCCTGAGAAAATAGAATATAAGCAGGTTTTACATTACATACATACAGAGTCATTTGCATCAGGGCAGTAATGAGAAGCTTTTTTATGTGGATCTCTGAAAGAAAAGCCTGACTTAGGTGTGTGTGTGTGTGTGTGTGTGTGTGTGTGTGTGTGTGTGTGTGTGTGTGTGTGTGTGTGTGCCATGGCAGTTTAGTGAGTCAGTGGAAGTTCAGGAGAGCCACACCCAGCAAGGTATTTCTGTTGGTTTAAATATGCACACATGGGGAAGCATAGTTTAGTTAGTGTGTGCGTGCATTGCTTGGCCACTCCTTTCTGACAAGTCTTCACAAAAAGTTTCCACAGACTGTTGGCTTCAGGTGTGTCTGTGTGTGCTGTGGGATGTGCCTGTAGTCACCTCCTCCAATGACACACACACTTTGATACAGTTCCATGTGCAAAGTTTATTAACCAGGAATAAGTTATGTCAGAAAAATACTGATTCTCAGTTTCTGTTCTACAAACTGAAACACAGAGTCTACATTTGTTCATTTGGTCATGTGTTTTAGGCCAAAGTGACATGCAAATGAGGTACAATCAAAGCCACAGTAGATCAAGGAGAAGCCTCCAAGAACAAGTACTTCAACGCTTAAGTGTTTACTCAGTGTTAGTCAGCATGAACAGAGTACTTCACTCCATGACATCCTTTGGCTATAGTACCCATAAATCTACCTAACTAGTGGAGTAAAGGTAAGACAGAATCTGGTGGCAGTTTACACACAATATAAGATATTACATATATTATCAAAACTCCATAGAATAAACTGATGAAAGATCAGTGATGGAAGTGCAGAATCAGAATCAGATATACTTAATTGATCCCGGAGGGGAAATTTCTTAATAATAATACCATTAATGTTAAGTTGGAACTTTTGTTCAATACAAAATATTTCAAAATGTGCATTTGCTGTTATTATTATATATTGGATCTATATAAAAATGGACAGAGTATCTGTTAAGATTTCAATCATAGCTAAAAATTCCTGTAAACGTGGTTTTTAGTTTAATTTTATTGTTGGTATGTCCCTTTGTATATGCCCCTTATTTGTGTTTACTTGTTCATATATTTTTATATTCTTTTCTATTTTTGAACGAAAACGGTTTGGTCAGGTTTACCTCAGTAAACCATTTGTTTCCCCACACCACCACCACTCCTAATCAATAATACATTTAGGGGATGCTTTTTAAACTCCTGTATATTTTACAGAAAGAAAGTGGTGTCTGACTTTGAGTGCACATGTACTCCACATACAGCACTATTTCAGAGTAATACGCTGCTCAAGGGTTGCAGCTCTCTGTGGCTTTACATACTGTGACAGGAGAGATTCAACCTGTTTGTGGGTGGATTTCCCAAACTCCCATCAGCCTTGTTTCTCTTCATCTTATGTAATAGGTTCTCTCATTATGTTTGTGCATTTCTGACTGGGTTCAGGGGCCTTATGTATAAAGATGTTTTTAGATTTATACTTGAACTTAATCTTGAGATTATTTCCAAGGGTGTAATTAAGTCAGATTCATAAAAGATGCTGAGCATAAACAACCTTGCTTCACACCTAAGATCTATAAATCTCAATTTAACTTAAAAGTGACTGTTTTCCCTTATATAAGGCTAGCACTAAAGAGGGTTCAGTAAATTGACCTGTACTTGTATAGAGCCTTTCTAGTCTTCCAACCACTCAAAGCACTTTTACACTACATGCCACATTCACAGAGGGATGACAAACTCCATCGAACAGAAACTAGTTCATTCATGCAAATTCACAAACCGATGCACAGCATCAGGAGCAATTTGGGGTTCAGTATCTTGCTCAAGGATACTTCGACATGTGGTGGGAGGAACCAGCAATCAGACCAACAACCTTCCGATTAGTGGACGACGACCAGGAGGCTCCGCCAGGCTCCATGAGAACCTGCAAGACGAGAAAGCACATAACTTCGGGGAAGAAGTGAAGTTAGTAACATGCATTAATGGGACATGAATGTGTGCAGAAAGAGAGAGGAAGAGAGGAGCTCAGTGCATCATGGGAAATCCCCCAGCAGTCTAGGCCTATAGCAGCATAACTAAGGGATGGTTCAGGACTCACCTGATCCAGCCCTAACTATAAGCTTTATCAAAGAGGAATGTCTTAAGCCTACTCTTGAATGTGGTGAGGGTGTCTGCCTCCCGAACCACAACTGGAAGCTGGTTCCACAGGAGAGGAGCTTGGTAGCTGAAGGCTCTGTTGTCAAATGCAGCACTAAGATCTAACAATACAAGTGCAGAGACAAGTCCATTGTCTGAAGCAATTAAAAGGTTGTTATTAACTTCAACCAGTGCTGTCTCTGTGCTGTAATGAACTCTAAATCCTGACTGAAAATCCTCAAATAAGCTATTGCTATGTAGAAAGTCACACAACTGTTTGGTGAATTTTAGAGAGGAAGGGGAGGTTAGAAATGGGTCTATAGTTGGCTAAAACCCCTGGGTCAAGAGTGGGCTTTTTAAGAAGGGGTTTAATAACAGCTACTTTAAAGGACTGTGGTACATATCCTGATAATAAAGAAAGATTAATCATGTCCAGTAAAGAAGGGCCAACTAAGGGTAAGACTTTCTTTATTTGGGATGGGGTCTAAGAGACAGATTGATGGCTTCGATGAAGAAATTATTGAAGTTAAAGTATGACAATGTTGTCTGACATTGACTGCTGTTAGTTATTGGTTTGATTAATGGTATAATAATGTGTGTGTATTGATACTGACGGTGGCTGATCAGGCTAATTATCAGCTAATTGTACTCATTGTAAGTGTTTGTGCTGTCTGCGTCTGAGATTACAGAACATGATCTGTGGACACCTTCATAGGCTACTCGCTGGCTACTAGGTGCCTTCGGGACCCACATTGTTGGAGACGCCTGTATTAGTATATTAATAATTAAATCCAATCCCCCCTGAGTATACATGTGTAAACCAAGTCCATAGAAAGGTAATTCATAGGCCAAGAAAGTCCTTCATCCTCAATGTGTTCTGCGTGTGTGAGACCATGCAGGACCAGAACAGGAAGGACAGGACTGGTTCTGGTTGACTCAGTGTCTAATACTTCTACATAAGGAAGCAACATAGGAGGTGCTCTGTCTGTTTACCGCTTTCAGGTGGAGAAAATTATGGGAATATGGGAAGTTCCTTGAGGCGGAGGAGTCTGTGTTCCTCTGTTTTCATTAACAAGGCTTGTGTGCTGCTAAATGCTACAACTCCACCACCTTGTGGTCAAATGTGGAGCATTTACCCTCAAAACTTCTCCAATGTTATGGTGCCTTGTTGCTACTTATTAACAATATTTACCACTGCTCCAGTATGATCACAGCGCTGTACAGACTGTCAACAAAGTCATCTTAGCTCAAGGTCATGGTATGGAGGGAGATGGTACCCCAGCTCTGATGCTAATGTTTGTATATTTTACCAATAATTAATCAATTAATACCAACAACTGCAGGGGGAAAAAGTGAATGTATAAGATAGTGGTCAAGTGACACAAACACCTGTTTGTGTCTTCCTGGCAGCTTGGTTCAGATATTTTTGCTGACTTATACTGTCTCCATCTTTATACTGTTTCTGCCGACTCTAGAATCTATGTCTTTGTTAACAATCTGAGAATGTTTACTCTCAGTGTAGTCAATGTCTTACCACCATCTTAAGCTTTTCATGGCATTCATCTGATTTTCTTACATTAAACACTCAAGAGAGGCAGAGGTGGAAAGTAAGTAAGTCGTTTTTCAGGTATCTGTTCTTTTTTTACCACCAACATTTTTACCCAAGTATCTGTACTTTCTACTCCTTACATTTTTAAAATAGGCTTGTTACTTTTGATTGCATTTGAGGGGAACTATCTATGATTATTAGTTTTTGCACGCCTTCCAAACATCAAGACCAGTGCATATCACACATGACAGACATGACATAACGAAAACAATGTAAATGACTGTACTTTTGCTACCTCTGAAGAGAGGAAGGTGCTATCTAATCATACAATATATTGTCAAGTGTAATTTTGTTTGATACTGTGAAATAAAAAAGGATTCAAAGGTCAACAAATAATTCAAACTCTTATGCATGGGCTTAAAACTAAGACCCGGGGTCCGCCTGCTTAAAATCCAGTGTGTATGATTTAGTGGCATCTAGTAGTGTAGTTGCAAATCGCAACTCCCTCGCTTCTGCCTCTCCTTTCAAGCACAAAAACACAAAAATCTTTGACCTGGATCTTACCTGACCTCATTGGTAATATATCTCGTCATAGGACAGCAGTTGGAAATTGGTCAGGTGGATAATAACAGAAAATGATTAATATATTTGCTTTATTTAATCAATTACTGGCGCAAAGCAACAAATCCTTGATTACAATTGGAGGATCATGTGGAGACATGATACAAACACTGAGGGCAACTGGCATGCCCAAGCCAAAGCTCAATACAACAAACTCGACCTGGAATCAGTCCAATCTGGAGCCAGTTAGGTTCAGGTAGCAGAGGTCTTCCTTTTACTGTTTCCTGGAAGCGATGTTTCATCCACAGTTTCTCACCACTCATCTGTTTTTGTGACCAATGTGCCACAATGCTGTCATTTTTGTAGACATGACTTTTTGTTCTTTTTAAAGAATACAGGTATTTGATTAAAGCCACTACATCTGCATGAAACCACATTGTTAAGTGACATATGTTTTGATGGAGCTGACATAGATGGTATACGATATACATTTGACCATACAAACATATTCATCAAATTCCCCAAAGTACAAGCTGAATCCGATAGTAATCGTACGTGGAGGACATCAGCTGAAGAAGATTTCTTTTAAAATTAGTGTCAAAGATATTATTTTTAAAATCTTACATCTCATATTTCCATCTGTATATGCTTATAGGTCTTCTGTTTTTTTTTTTTATTATAGTCATTCATTTTCTGACTTGTGTAATTATTCTTATTATACTACAGGTGAACAGGGTAAAATATGTAATAGATATCAGCATGAACCTGCCCCAATTGATTGCATTAAGATAATTATTTATTTTTATTACAAGCTGAAATATTGAATATGCAAATTAAGCATTATCTAATTAATGTACCAATTTATACAATTCAAGAAAATAAATCTGAACATTGGATAAATTAAAGTTCACATATTATGACATATTATAGTCAAAGATTTTCCCTGAGGGAATTGAAATCTCCATAAATCAAAAAATACCGTCAACAGCCATAAAACAATTTCACCATTGTTTAGGCATAAAAAACATAAATAAATAAAGTACTCATGTAGGATTTTTGCTTTTATTCTAGTGGATTATTTTTACATTGTGGTGTAAACAATCTGAGTATTTTGTTCTGTTAATATTTTTTTGCTCTTATCCCACACTGCAGTATTTATACAAAGTAAGTAACTATACAGCCCATATTAATATTTCTTTGTTTTGAATGTTTATTTCACAAAGAGCAGTAATCACACATTTTACACAGAATCGTCACATTGCAGGCGGTGAGGAATGGAGGGAGAGGACGGTTAGGGAACAAGTCCCAGGATGTGTGACTTTGAACTGGACTTAAACAATAATGACTCTTAATGTCTAAAAACTAAATATAAACCTAGAACATTATTACACACATTTCATATAATTACGGTATAATGCTGTGCATGCAATAGCTGATATGCCCCGCCCCCAAGAACAGTATTTCCAGGAATCCCCCTTTCTGATAGGTCAAGGGATTCCTGGGAAAACTGGACCCCAGGAGAGAGGAGGAGAAAAACAAGAAGTCGGTAAGCTCTTCCTCTTCTGAGCCCGTTCCTCACATACAGAGATCCAGCTATGGTTTCCATACATCTCATCTACAGACTGCACATTCAAAGCTTTGAAGCTGTCGCATCTGTTTTGTCTTTCCTGAACCTTTCAACCTGTCTTTCAACCCCCACTAGAGGTTGCCAAAGCTTCACAGGGGACAAGAGGCATTCTTAGTTTTAAAGTGTGTAAGAAAACTTAAATATATATATATATATATATATATATATATATATATATATATATACTGGAATCCTATATCTCATTATTTCATTCATTTCTGTCAAGAAAATTAAATGAAACTATTATTTTGGATATAAAGTTAAAAAACCTCACAGGATAAGGGCACAGTGAAGACCTGAATACTCACAGAGCCCTTGCTCTCTGTGAACAGCCTCATCCTGCTTAAGAAAAACAACCAAGGAGCTAACAGAACACTAAACATTGAATTTATCAAAAAAGACCAACTTTCTGACCCTTTTATGCACATCATTGTCCCTGTCTGAAGCAAAGCAGAGCCCTGATGCAGGATGCTGTTAACCGGTTCACGATACAGTCAGTGTCGAATTTCTGTCCTCCGTCCCGAGCTACAGTGCTTCATCTCAGACTACCAACTGACCAGAGATGCAGCACTGCACCATGGGCCGCAGGTATTGACCAGAAAGTCAGCTGGAGAGAAGCACAGGGACACAGCAAAGCACAGTTAGTCACTTTAGACAGATTTCTATTCTGATTTAACAACTTCTACATCAGTGGTTCCCAACCTTTTTCCTTAAGCGAGCCCTTTTCTATAACAGTAATGGATGGATGAATTTTGAGCAGATTATTTAGAGATCAGTCTTCCTGATATTTTTAGGAACTTTTTATTCAATTCAATGTCTGTATTATATTATTTATTTATTTTTAACAATCATTAGTACTTAATAGCCTTGTTTTTTGACAAATTCATTGTTTTCATCTTATTGTTCTGTTAGATCTTTTAACTTTTCTAATTGTCGTAGATTGAAGGCTGTGTGGCTAGAGCTTGTGTTCAGGTCTTCACCATGTCCCTATCCTGTTTATTTCTTAAATAATAATCTTAATAATAAAAATAAACAATTTCATATAGTTTTCTTGATATATAGGCCTACTGTGTATATTCTTTTCAAGGTTTTCTTACACACCTAGTTGGGGTCAGGACCTCCCAGGTTTGGAACTTTACACAAAATTTATCATCTTGAAAATCCCCAAATCACAGAAACTCGTGTGAGCTGATATGAATCATAATGTAGTGAGATCACAATTAAAGTTAGCATCAGAGTGATGCCTTATGATGATGACCGTCATCAGAATTGACATTGACATTTCTCTAATAATCATACTGGACATGGAGCTTATTCATAGACATGAAACATGAAAACAAATTCACTCATGCCTAATGGAAGAGACACAACAATGTCTTACACTTCATACCTCACAAAAATACACAAGACATATTGGTCAAAGCAGTGTGAGACAAAAAAGGGTGCAAAGTGTGTGAGAGAGAGAGAGGAGGGGGGGGGTGGGAGACAGGAGAGCAAGAGAGAGAGAGAGGAAAGAGGGTGAAATTACTTAAAACCCCAGTAGACCTACATAATACCAACTTCCTGTGTGGCTTCTGCTCCCTCTGACATTCCACACACTCACAAATAAAGCTTTCAAAATCAATCTGTGTGTGAGTGTGTGTGTGTGTGTGTGTGTGTGTGTGTGTGTGTGTGTGAGAGAGAGAGTGAAACTCACCTCTCTACTACAAGCCAAACTCTGAGATCTGAAACACAACACACGTTAAAGTTAAAAGTTAAAAGTTAAAAGAGAGGCATTACAGCAAAAGACAGCTCACAGACACACACACAGGCTGACAAACGGATATCATGCATGCTCTTTATAACCGTTGGCTCTCTACTCCTTCCTCTCGGTTGAGGAGGAAACCAACAGATTCAGGCTTACAGTCTTGAACTATACTGTAATTTCTGGGCATTTACATTAATTGAAACAAAATGTGTCCTCTGCATTTAAAATGGAATAGAATAGAATAGAATATACTTTACTGTCCCCTAGGGGAAATTAGTCATGGACTCAAAGTGCGTAGTGCATAGTAGTAGCTGCCCTTACAGACAATAAATACACATAAAATACATATAACAGCTAAAGACGTACACGTAGGCTACATACACACTCATGACACATCCAATGAAAGATTAAAGCAAATGAAAAACAAAACAAACAGAACACCAAGTTATTGCACACCAAGTTATTGCACAGCGTCCTCTCCCTGTCTTCCTTGGGAAATGTGCAACTAGGTCCTTGCGTACATCCATTCCCAGGCCTCAGCATACAGATCTATTTAAAATTTTGATGGAGGTGGGTACAAAAGAGTATTTAAAACGGTTCAATTTGCATTTTGGGATTCTGTACCTTCTGCCAGAAGGCAAGAGCTCGTATTCCCTTTGAAGGATGTGGGACAGGTCCAACAATACCCTCCATGCCTGCCTGAGTACAGACTGCTCATAGATGGACTAAAGGGAGAGCTTTTCAGTCCTCCCCATCACCTTCATAGCAGTCTGTACCAGGCGCTGCAACTTAGATTTGGACTGTGTGGAGAGATTGCTGAAGCACGCCGTCATCCCATACCTGATGACACTCTCCATTACTGCCTGATAAAATAAAAACATGATGTTCTGGCTGACAAACACCCTCAGTCTGCGTAAAAAATACAGCCTTTGCTGTAAACGGGAACATACATAATCTACATGATCACTCCAGCTGAAGAGGTTATCCAGGTGGATACCCAGTGACCTGTTTGATCTCCTCCCTGTGTATGGACAGTGGAGTATGATCCCCCACTGACCGAGGGTCAAACACCATCTCCTCAGTTTTTTTAAATTGATAGCTCACATTGTCCCCATACATTTGGTGGAGCATTCCAAATATTTGGGAATGCATGACATAAAAACCTGTGGGGTAGGTATGTATTCTTACTGTTATTTTGTGTGTTTGCACAGTTATGGCTTTAGTTCGCAATCCTGCTGCTGTTGGAGGCTCTAACCTTTCAGGTTTGAGTTTGATTGAAGTGGAGACAGTTCAGGGTCAAAGTCTGAGGAGTCTAGAATGGTTGGGTGGTTTGTTTTACTGATTCTCTTAAATACTAACAGGCCACTTTTATACCAACTATGAGCTGATATCACATATTTTAACTGCAATTTCATAGATGTTTAACAAATCAGTGAAAAAACTATTAATTCATGTGCTTCCATTCAGTTTCAGAGCTCACTGAATGGTTTGATGATTATGAAAATGACAGTTGTCAGCGCTCTCCACCACCACCATGAAGAAGGAAGGAATATCTTTTAGAGGAATGCTGCTCTTCCCCGCGGTAGACTTCCAGACACCAGAGAATATATGTCATGGAGCACTGAAGCTGTTCATGTTGAAGAACAACACCTTACTGACACATCTGATGTTGGTAAGTTGGCTCATTTGGAGCCCTTGTGTTTACTTATTGTTTATATTGCCCAGAATTATTGCAAGATTCTGGAAAACAGCTAATGGCTGAGTGGATGCAGTGGTGGCAATAGCTTCTTGTGATCTCAGTAGATGAAATGTATGGAAATTGTTGTTAAACTCCTCTTAAGAATGAGTTTCTGTGCAGAAAGTACAAAACAGACAACACTTTTTAAGTCTTACCCCTCATGCAGACCCTTCCTCCTCCATTATCTCAACAATTATTATAAGGAGTATGGTCTAGACCTACTGAAAAGTGTCCTGAGATTGACATCAAATTGAACTGTGTGTACAGCAACATCTGATAAATCATTCCCCTTTTTTAAATACTGTAGAACTGTATTTTTACAATGTTCTTGTGGGATTTTATTGTCCTCTGAGCACCAGCACTGTCACTCGAACAGTTACCATATATATCACTGAGTTCCTGAAAGAGAGAGACATATAAAGAGAGTGGTGGAGAAAGAGAAGTCGGTGTTTTCCAAGAATGCTCTGACTCCGCTTGGCTAGAAACTCCCAGTCTGCCCATATAAGGTTTGAGCCAGCCTTTTATTTTGGGGATCATGGAAACTAGAATTGCTGCTTTGGATAAACATTCCCTCTTCCAGTCTGTGATTGCTCCCACTGATAGTCTGTCACCCCACCCCCACCCCCTCCTCCCAGCTGTCTACATACATTCCCTTTTCTAGTCACAGTGGGGAGAGACTCACTTAAAAGGCAGCAGAGGGAGAGGAAGCTTTATCTCACTCAGTCCCTCTCCCTCTGCTCTGGGCTCAACAAGTCCATATTAAGAAGAAAGACCAGCTCTCCCTCTCTCTCACACTCACTCACAAACACAGCTTAAAAAATCCCACAGTAGGTCATGTCTCGAGGTCTGTCCTCAGGAAGTGTTGCCCCCACTAAACTAAACCAACAAACAAACCTGCCCTCTCCCAGCCTGACTGTGTGTGTGTGTGTGTGTGTGTGTGTGTGTGTGTGTGTGTGTGTGTGTGTGTGTGTGTGTGTGTGTGTGTGTGTGTGTGTGTGTGCCTCCATCCTGTTGCCGAGTTTCACATCATAGGGAGCATCTTCATATCTTCACCATTACAATCATCACCATCATCTTCACCAGCCTTGATTCAAATACACTTTGTTGTTTAGTACACACTCTTACTCTTCTATTAGTCCAACACAAAGCACCATCATATTCAAGTGGCAGGATGAAGATTTAACCAGTGTCCAGTCTGTAGTCTTAAAGGACTATCACTAGGACAATACACTATTCTCTCTTTATCTGGTAGTTAGATTAGATGAGAGGATTGATATCAGTCAGGAAATACACCTACCAAAAACTATAAAGCATATCTCACTCTTGGAAAGAAAGGTACAAAGAATAATACCTCCTAAAACATTGATCTGTTCCTTTAATTCATTATTTTAGAAGGAGCTCTGTGTGATTTTTGTGTAAATCAGCATGTCACTAACAGAAATCACCTCCTGCCTTCATTGTGTCACATCTGACGGATGGTGGCTCTTGTCACTCTTTTATTTATCTATCAAAATAAAACAAAACATTTACCCCTATCTGTGAACAATAAAACACACCCAGAGTTCTATAGCCTAACCATATTCAGAGATACTCCGAGAAATCAGTCCATACACTCTGCCATGGAGTAATTATTTGTTTCTATTGTAAACTTTTCCGATTTTTCAGTGGGAGAAATGTTCACATGAAATTCCTTTTATGGCTCAAAAGCTGAGAAGGGCCCTGGAACAAACCAGGGATATAATGTCAGCTGGTGAGTTGTTGTAAGGGGCCCAAAATATCTATCAACTGCTGGTAACATTTAGTTTTCCTTTCTTCTGTGGAGAGAATGAAAACATTCATCTTAGCTCAGGTAAAACAAAGATATGACTACTTTTGAATTTCCTTGCTGTTGCTGTTTCCTTGCTGTGGTACAGCAAGGAAACAGCAACAGCAAGGACTGATATGTTATATCATTTAAATGTCATGGCCAAAATCAGCAGAATATTATTAAAACTGCAGTAGGTAAATGGACTGTACTTGTATAGCGCCTTTCTAGTCTTCCAACCACTCAAAGCACTTTACACAACATGCCACATTCACCCATTCACGCACATTCATACAGTAAAGGCAGAGGTATGTTCATCACAAACATAAACTAACTCATTCATTCACATTCAGACACTGATGCACAGCATCAGTAGCAATTTAGTGTTAAGTATCTTGCTCAAGGCACTTCAACATGCAACAGAAGGAGCCAGGGATTGAACCACTTCTACCTCCTGAGCCACAGCTTTTTTAAACTGTTATGAATGTTATATAAATAAATAAATAAATATTTTGCCATATTTGCTGAAATGTTCACTGTGTCCTGTACATGAGACAGTGAATCTGTGAAAAATCAGATTACTCCAGTTCATCACATTTTAACCTTTTACCTCTGAAATCATTTGACCCTCATTGTATAGGTGTATCTAGCAAGCTATAGAGAATTTCCTGAGAGCGTTGTACAGAACAGAGTGTGTATAGACAGGCCCTGCAGCAGCCTGGCTGTGGATGATAAGATACATATGGTTAGGTCAGTGGTTCCCAAACATTTTGAAACCAAGGTACCCCATCATAGTGAATTTTTGTTCCATTTTTACATTAAATATCAAAATGTTGTTAAAGCACCTATGTGCAGGGTCTAGCACAAACCCCTCTATGGGTCCCTCCCCACATCCATGGCTATTCTAGTATCTTTGTGTGTCCTCCAGGTGAGTGGGGATACCCTGAAAGGGTGAAAACTGAACTAAATTCTTATCCTTTCTCTTCTTAAACAGTAAATGCATCCTACGATCTGCAGTCTTCCTTCTGTCCAGTTCCAGCCTCAACGGTCCTTGGACAGTTTTCTCTCTCAGTAAAACCGTATACTTTGTAGTATACAGTATGCAGTGTTGTATGGAGTATACACACAAAATCTACAGCACAGGAGGCAAAGAATGAGGATGATAGGAGACAGCACGGCTGCTGTACACATACTACCTGATCGACTCAATTTAACACAAAACACATAAAATCCCTCAAATGAAAATTAATTATATAAACTGAAAACTCAAATGTTTCTTCACAGACTAACTTCACAGTCACAGGCTAACTTCAGGCTACAAGCCCTGAGAGGGAACGTGTCTGTATGAGTGTGCATGTGTGTGTGTTTAGACAGGCTGTGATAACAGTCAGAGCCATCTCTCCTGTTGAGCCAAACATTGCCTAATATGGTCTCCTTTCTCTTTCCCCATGGCTTTGTAAATCAGACACGGGAAGCTTTTTCTCCATTTTACTCCATCTGTCTGTCACACTAAATGTCTCTCTCGTACTCGTGCAAACACACACACACACACACACACACACACACACACACACACGCACACACAGCTAAGTGTAATGTGAAATGTTTTTGAAAATGAAACTCCAGGACAACCTCACCAAAAAAAGTTTGAGAGAAAAACTAAACGCTGTGTCATAGTAAAGAGACCGACCAAGTACAACACAGTTCGGATCACAGTCTGGACCAAACAGCCAGACCAAATGAGGTGGTCTTGGTCTAGTTTGGTTTGTTTGTTTGTTTGCAGGAAGTTCTGGCAGAAGATTTTCATAGACAAGGATGTTCATTTGGCACCTTCAAACTAGTGTAGTATTGTGCATAATAGTATTATAGCAGCAATAATATAGCAGCACCTATATGCAGTTCAATTGTCATTTTGTATGTAAGCAGTACCTGAAATACTGGCATTCCTGATTTTTGTGCACATGAGTACACTTACTTCGAGTACACACCACCAAGGATCACCGTGGTCCGGACCTTGGTATTTTTCTGTTTGGTAGATGCATGCCCCCAAACCCCTAAAGAGTTCAGATTTTGGACCTTGTTAAAAAAACACCAAAATAATTAAGGTTAGGGTTGTGCTGAATTTGGGTACTGGCACCTTTTTTTGGTCCAATTCAGGCACTGCATGTAAGTATTGATAACAAAACAAACATGTGAAGAGCTAAAAACAGATGAAATGTAATTTGAACTGTAGATAAATTGAAATTTCACATGAAGTTGAAGCGTGTGGAGTGTAAATATGTGTCAGTTCCGCCAAAAGTGAAACCGGAGACACTGGGGGCCTTTATCATTACAGATAGCTTTAATAAGTTTATGTGATTTAATTGGAGAAAAAAAAAAACTGTTGCCTAAACAAGTACTGTGTCGGAGTCGGTGTGGATTAATTTGTTTGGTAAAATGGAAGGCAGGCGAATGATAAACATCAAAAACGCTTTCTGTGTGGATTAGCCTTCAAAGGAGTTCATCTCTTTCTTCATCTCTTTCTCTCTTTTCCTGTATTCTTCTCCTTCCTCCCACTTCTCTCACCTTCCACATGCCTCTCTTCGTCTTTCTACCCCTCCCCCCTCCTTCTCCCATGTGAAATTGACCCTGGGAATCATGGTCTCTTGGTCCCAGAGCAGGACTCGTTTAAATGTGTGTAGGGGGTTATGTGAAAATTCTCTTGACACAGTGCCCTTAAGACTTTTGACTGTTCAATAAATAAATACAGCATTTCCTCCTTTCCTTCCTCCATACGTTTTCTCATGTCCAAAAGTTTCCACTAGAAGTCCCATTGTTAACACTAACCATGCTGTCTAGTCCTGTTCAACTAAACATTTGTGCTGACTTTGTGAGGACCAATTTCAGTTTTAAACTATCAGATTTCTGCATTGTGATGACTTGTTGGCTGGCTACTTCAAAGTTTGAAGGTTAAGACTTGCTTTTAAGATTCAGATTTAGGGTTAGGCATTTAGTTGTAAAGTGTATATGTGGAAGTTGTCCTCTTACCTGGTCTATTTCTTCCACACCTCCTGATTCTCATTTTGGTGCTCACCCATTGCTGTCCCTGGTGTAGATATGGTCCCAGTCATTGATGCTGTGTAAGATAAGACGTTGAGATTGATGTCAGCCATACTGTTTCACATAGTAAATGGTAAATGGACCTGTACTTGTATAGCACCTTTTATGTCTTCCGACGCATTTATACACATTCACAGTATCTTGCTCAAGGATACTTCGACACGTGGCGGGAGGAGCCGAGGATCGAACCAACAACCTTCTGATTAGTGGACGACTCGTGGACGACCCACTCTGCGCTGCCTCTGAGCCACAGCTGCCCCCACATGAGATTTTTGCTCTGTTTTTACCATTTAAGGACAGCACCACACCCCACCCTCCTCCAGGATACAAGCATAGTCTGGACTTTTAATGTTTTTGGACTTTTTTCAGCTTCCCCATAATCTTCTCATAACCCCTTAGATATATCTTGCAAACATTTTGTTAAGTCACAACCCACCAAGTTGTAAGCCACTGTTCTTTATAATGTCTCTCAATGAATGACAGTGTGTTTTGTGGGTCTTTGTGTATTAATGAATTTATGTCATTACCATGTGGACAAAAAAAATGTATTGTAGGGTGGTTCAATAGGAACAAATTGAAGTAAACACAGTGCTGTTCTCAGAGAGAACCACTGAGAACAGATCAGTGAATGTGCCATTTATCAAAGAATAATTCTCACTCTCTTAAAATGTGCTTGAGTTAGGTAATCCATCTCAAGGCCCCTAAACACTGTGATAACAGCAATCTTTTACTGCATGTCACACTGATAAGATAGGTTTCATAAAAACTTAGTTGAAGTTTGTGTCAGACTGTAAGTAAGTATGTTTTGAGGCATGTTCAATTGTGAGATGAATGCCCAAATAAGCTGAGATGAGTCATTGACTCCCTTCATCTATTTGAAAATGCAGAAAGATGAGAAGACATAATTTTAAAAAATGGCACCAATATGATAATTATATGTATGTGTATATAGGTGCTTACAGTGTTGACACTTGCCAGTGCAGCAGAGGTCACATTATGAGAGTTTGTCCTAACACTTCCCAAACCCCTAATTCAGCCATTTAGCTAAGTGTGGAGTAATGGATTACATATAATCGGAATAGAAAAAAAAGGTAACCATAACATGTTACAGGTTACAGTTACATTTAGTAAAGGGATTATTAACAATTAATAAGAGACACATAATAACGCTTCCGGAGTCCCTCATCAGCACTCTGGTCTCAGTGAAACCATATCTAATCTTACAACTGCCAGTTCATTATCATGGCCTCTATTGAAAAAATACTTTTACTTGGGTGAAAATTTCACCATTATTTTGTCTTTACAGCAGAAGAAGGAACAACATCACAGTACAGTGCTCCATAGACTACTGCCTGAAAGGTTTCCTGAGCAGAAAACATATTTTTGATGCTAAAAATCTCTGGGACTACTGTTTTGTGGCACCAAAAGATTTAATTGTTTCGCTCGTTTCTATTAGATTTCATTGTTTTGATCGTAACTGTTACATATGTAGCTGTAAGTTATGTAGCCTTACTTTGGCAACTTCCAACCATGATGACATTATGTTTGTGTTATGGATGCCCTAACACAAGCAAGTTGCTGCCTGGATAATTGAAAAAAAATATGGTACGCTTTGAAAAACGATTGACAGTGATGATTTATAGCAGAAAATATAAATGTAATAACATGATCATACCTCGGTTGCAGGTGCTGCTGGAAGGTGTCATCTGCAGCAGCTGGCAGGCTGCTTCAGTTCTGGACGGGTCAGGTCTCCACTGCTTGTCATCTCCACTGGCTGGATACTTGGCTTTACTGGGTGAACTGGCTCGTCTTCTATAAGGCTGCTTTTACAATAGTAATGAAATGAGGAGCAAGTTTTCCCACCCACAAAATAAAATATGATTGCTCATCAGTGGGATACCCTCTGCTCTCTGTGTGTGTGTCTCTCTTATGAAGCAGATGGACTGCCAGGCCATGCATTCCACTGTTACCTTGTATGGTCACTGGGGGGCGGGCCTTACACCAGGGAATGCCCCCTCTAAATATGACTGATGTCAGAGGAACCAAGAAGCCTCAAATAGTGACCTATTCAGTTTGTCTGTGAGAGAGAGAGAGAGAGAGAGAGAGAGAGAGAGAGAGAGAGAGAGAGAGAGAGGGAGAGAGAGTGTGTGTGTGTGTGTGGGGGGGGGGACAGAGAGGAGGAGGGAGAGAAACAGGGGAAGAAGAGGGTTGAGTTAAGAGTGGAGGAGGACAAGTAGAAGGAGACAAAAGCTGAGAAACAAAGGGAGGGAAAAAGAAAAAAGGAAGAATTATTGAACAAGGCAAGGCAAATAAGGAGGAGTGTGTTGGGGGGGGTATATTTTCCTTAGTGAATGAAAAAAAGGTTTGACAATTTTCATATTTCTTCTAAATTTGGGCTTTTTCTGCATCGGGCAGCTGACTGGACGATAAACTGAAATACCATGATACCATGTGGAACCTATTACACTGCTGAGAGACAGATAGACAGACAGCCAGCCAGCCAGACAGACAGACAGACAGACAGGCAAACAGACAGGCAGAGACAGAAAGAGAGAGAGGGAGAGACAAACAGACAGACTGAGAGGGAGGCAGACAGTCAGAGAGAGGGAGAGACAAAGAGAGAGCAGGAAGAGGGCAATTATATGGAGTAACATTGTTTCACTGCTCTGATCTGTTACACACTTCACATAAAAAGAAATTCATCCACTTTGACTGCGTTTGAGCACCAAGCATCATCGATGTAACAGAATCCTCTTCTCATCCTGCTCGGCTCATAATGCGGCCCACCCATTATGAAGCAGATCTTTGTAAAGATGTTGGCACAACAGTCTCTGATTTCCTATTGTTTGGCCAGCCTGAGTCTCATTTCAGCCATTAGCCGGGAGCAGTCTTAAGTCCAAGCTGGGACCAGCATGGCTTCTGCTCTTAAACTGCAGCAATTAAACTGAAAACAGATTAAAACAAAAAGAGAGAACTTTGAAGGAGCTAGCCTACCAGCTGGAGCATCTGCCATTGCCAAAATAGTCAAAGTTGATTTGAACAATTTTGGCTTAGCCCTTCAAATCAAACCCAATCAGACATCATTCAATGATGTTTTAAGCAATAACACTGAGAAAAATTAAAGATTAAAATGAAAGATTTAGATTAAAACAAAAATAATTAGACTTTTGAATGGTCAGTTAGAGTTAAAGTTGTTCAAATAAATGTTCCTGATTTCATTTAATGTTTAACATTGTAGGAGGAAGCACTTCTCTCAACCTCACCTGTCAAACAGTGACCACATATTCTGTTTTCTATTTTTTTTAAAGATATTTTTTGGAGATTTTTGTCTTTATTGGATAAGACAGCTGAAGACATAAAGGAAAAGGGGAGAGTGGGGATCCCGTGCAGCAAAGTAGCTGAGAGACTCAGAGGTAGAGCGGGTCATCCACTAATTGGAAGGTTGTTGGTACGCTCCCCAGCTTCTCCCACTGCATGTTAAAGTAGAAAGGGTAGAAAGGTGCTACGCAAGTGATTGATACTACACAAGTACAGTCTATTTACCATAAATCCATTTTGAGTATAGGGACCTACTATCTACTTTTAAAATATCTTTACACGTGCAGGATTTGCTTTGACTTGCCATAACAGAATACGGTACGGCAACTTTTTGTCTCTTACAGTAACCTACAGTAAATTAGACTTGAGGTTTCCTAATTCAAGCTAATTTTGAGCACTTTTATTCATGTGCTGTTGTGCTATTCTATTATTCTTGGCTTTTATTCAAGCCCAAATATGAGATGTTTGATAAATACAACTGTATTTTAAGTATAAGACAATAAATACAAAAACTGAAATCACTGATTTTGCATGTTGTGAGGAATAATTTGGTGCCCTCAGTGAGAATTGTGGTTAATGTGGTAAAATGTCTCTGAATTATCAGTGGTCCATATGAGTCCATAGCAGCCACAGTTCTAACGTTGTTGTTTTGTTTAAATTGTTCATATTTTAAAAACACACTGAAAACATTTAGATGTGTATCATCTGGTGACTGGATAGAACAACTTCAGTTCTAGAGTTCAGTGCTCTAAAGCCAGTAGAGATGGTTGCGGCCATCATTGAGTCCATCCTCACCATTCAACTGCTACTGCCAGCGTTCCAGTTGTGGGGGCCTCCTAAAAAAGCCACGTTAGATTGGGAAAAGCGGAGTGAAGGGAGAACACATTCCCACCCTTTTTGGTATTATATGAAAGTAGTTACTTTTTTACGCTCTGCACCCTGTCCTTTATAGCAGTCCATTAGTGGGAAGATACATCGTAAATGGTTGTTGGTAATGAATTAGCTACCCCCACAGACGTATGATTTTCTTCTTTCAATGGAGTTCAGACCCATTCTTATGTAACTGGCTCCCACATAACTCGAAACCTGACAAAGGCAGACTGCTGTGAATCATTCACTCTGCTCAGAAGGCTGCCATTCCTCAAAAACCTGGATTGCCCTATATATATTGTGTTCAGCTCATCTGTGCTATCTCTTATGTTTCCATGTATTTGTTTTGAAAATGTTTGATGTATTGGGTGCCTGGTACGACCCAGACGGCCCATGTTCGATACCAACCATCGGCCCTTTGCTGCATGTCATCCACCTCTCTCTCCCCCACTTTCCTGTCCCTCTACAGTAAAAGCTGTAGATTTTCAAATCTGCAGCAATATTAAACACCCATAAAGTTATTAACCAAGAAATATTAAAAATCTCTTTTGTAGGAGTGTCCTGGACTAGATAGTTGCAGCACATAAAGGGTGACATTGCCATGTAAAACATACCTATAAGATGAAGATGAAGATGATCATTAAAGCTCACAAAATAGATAATATACAATAAATATACACCACCTGCAATAGATTAGACACTTTTTTTAAAGATTATTTTTTGGGTTTTTATTATTAAAAGAAGAAAATAAGAACAACCCCAGGTTCCTCTTTAGCACTGTAGCCAGGCTGACAGAGAGTCACAGCTCTATTGAGCCACATATACCCATATCCTTAAGCAGCAATGACTTCATGAGCTTCTTTTATAATAAAATGATTACTATTAGAGAGAAAATTAATTCAATTCAATTCAATTAAATCTTATTTGTATAGCGCCAATTCATAACAGAAGTTATCTCAGGACACTTTTCAAATAGAGCAGGTCTAGACCGAACTCTTTAAAACATTATTTACAGAGACCCAACAGTACCACCATGAGCAAGCACTTGGCGACAAGGGCAAGGAAAAACTGCCTGTTAAAAGGCAGAAACCTAGGACAGATCCTCCGGCTCTAGGTGGGTGGTCGTCTGTCTCGACCAGTTGGGGTGAGAGAGAGAGAGAGAGGCAGAGAGAGAGAGAGCGAGAGACAGACAGACAGGTGCACAGCAACAACAGTATTGGCAATGGCAATCTAGCAGGACCATGGCAGGAGGCTCCGATCGATAAGAACCTGCGAGACGAGAAAGCACAAGAACTCCGGGGAAGAAGTGAAGTTAGTAACATGCATTAATGGAACATGAATGAGTGCAGAAAGAGAGAGGAAGGGAGGAGCTCAGTGCACCATGGGAAATCCCCCGATAGTCTAGGCCTACAGCAGCATAACTAAGGGATGGTTCAGGACTCACCTGATCCAGCCCTAACTATAAGCTTTATCAAAGAGGAATGTCTTAAGCCTACTCTTGAATGTGGTGAGGGTGTCTGCCTCCCGAACCACAACTGGAAGCTGGTTCCACAGGAGAGGAGCTTGGTAACTGAAGGCTCTGGCTCCTGTTCTACTTTTAGAGACTATAGGAACCACAAGTAGCCCAGCATTCAGAGAACGTAGTGTTCTAGAGGGGTAATAGGGTACTATGAGCTCTTTAAGATATGAAGGGGCCTGACCATGAAGAGCTTTATAGGTGAGGAGGAGGATTTTAAATTCTATTCTACATTTTACAGGGAGCCAATGCAGAGAAGCTAGTACAGGAGAGATGTGATCTCTTTTTCTAGTTCCTGTCAGTACTCGTGCTGCAGCGTTCTGAATTAATTGGAGCGTTTTAATGGACTTATTGGGTAACCTGATAATAAAGAGTTGCAGTAATCCAGCCTTGAAGTAACAAATGCATGGATTAGTTTTTCTGCATCTGTCTGTGATAGTATGTGTCTAATATTACGTAAATGAAAGAAGGCAGTCCTAGAGGTCTGCTTTATGTGGGAGTTAAATGACAAATCCTGATCAAAGATAACTCCAAGATTCCTGACAGTGGTGCTAGAGGCCAAGTTAATGCCATCTAGAGTAACTATATCTTTAGACAGTGAGTCTCTAAGGTTTTTGGGGCCAAGAACAAGAATTTAGTTTTTTTCTGAGTTTAACATCAGAAAATTGCAGGTCATCCAGGACTTTATGTCCTTAAGACATGTTTGTAATTTAGATAATTGATTAATGTCATTGGGCTTGATTGATAGATATAACTGCGTATCATCTGCATAACAGTGAAAGTTAATGGAGTGATTCCCAATAATGTTGCCTAAAGGGAGCATATATAAAGTAAATAGTATTGGTCCAAGTACAGAACCTTGTGGAACTCCATGACTAACTGTAGTGTTTATTGAAGATTCATCGTTAACATGTACACACTGCGAGCGATCTGATAAATATGACTTAAACCAGCTTAGTGCGGTTCCTTTAATGCCAATTTGATGCTCAAGTCTCTGTAAAAGAATATTATGGTCAATGGTGTCAAATGCAGCACTAAGATCTAATAATACAAGTACAGAGACAAGTCCATTGTCAGAAGCAGTCAGAAGGTCATTATTAACTTTAACCAGAGCTGTCTCTGTGCCTTGATGAACTCTAAATCCTGACTGAAAATCCTCAAATAAGCTATTGTTATGTAGAAAGTCACACAACTGTTTGGCGACTACTTTCTCCAGAATCTGAGAGAGGAAGGGGAGGTTAGAAATCGGTCTATAGTTGGCTAAACCCCTGGGTCAAGAGTGGGCTTTTTAAGAAGGGGTTTGTTACAGCTACTTTAAAGGACTGTGGTACATATCCTGATAATAAAGAAAGATTAATCATATCTAGTAAAGAAGTGCCAATTAAGGGTACGACTTCTTTAAGCAGCCTAGTTGGGATGGTGTCTAATAGACAGGTTGATGGCTTCGATGAAGAAATTATTGAAGTTAACTGATGAAGATTGATAGCAGAAAAACATTCTAAATACATATCTGAGTTAACAGTAGTTAAAGTTCCTAAACTTTGAGAGCCAGTGATACCTGTTGAGGGCATTTGGTGACTAATTCGCAGGTTCTCATGGATCCTGGTGGAGCCTCCTGCCATGGTCCTGCTTGACTGCCATTGCCAATATCACTGATATTAGTGTTATTATTATTATAAGTATTATTATAGCTACGGTTACTGTTGTTGCTGTTGTCACTGCACATTGTCCCCCATCGTTGCTGTTGTCATGTTCATCATCATCAGTCACTACTATTAGTGTAGTTGTTGCTACTGTTGTTGCTGTGCACCTGTCTGTCTGTCTGTCTGTCTCTCTCTCTCTCTCTCTCTCTCTCTCTCTCCCCTTTCACCCCAACTGGTCGAGACAGACAACCACCCACCTAGAGCCGAAGGACCTGTCCTAGGTTTCTGCCTTTTAACAGGCAGTTTTTCCTTGCCCTTGTCGCCAAGTGCTTGCTCATGGTGGTACTGTTGGGTCTCTGTAAATAATGTTATAAGGAGTTCGGTCTAGACCTGCTCTATTTGAAAAGTGTCCTGAGATAACTTCTGTTATAAATTGGCACTATACAAATAAAATTGAATTGAATTGAATTGAATTAATTTTCTCTCTAATAGTAATCATTTTATTATAAAAGAAGCTCATGAAGTCATTGCTGCTTAAGGATATGGGTATATGTGGCTCAATAGAGCTGTGACTCTCTGTCAGCCTGGCTACAGTGCTAAAGAGGAACCTGGGGTTGTTCTTATTTTCTTCTTTTAATAATAAAAACCCAAAAAATAATCTTTAAAAAAAGTGTCTAATCTATTGCAGGTGGTGTATATTTATTGTATATTATCTATTTTGTGAGCTTTAATGATCATCTTCATCTTCATCTTATAGGTATGTTTTACATGGCAATGTCACCCTTTATGTGCTGCAACTATCTAGTCCAGGACACTCCTACAAAAGAGATTTTTAATATTTCTTGGTTAATAACTTTATGGGTGTTTAATATTGCTGCAGATTTATGTCGGTGCCAGATTGTACAGACTAACACGTGAGAAAAACACAACACTGCAAACAAACAACATTTCTGAACGTTTGTTTGTATTAATATAAATGTAAATGTATTCCGTTAAAGTAGATTATAGTCTGTATTAGCAGTGTGTATGTGAGAAAGAAGGGGGGCAGTTATAAACCAGCTCTCTGTCTGTTCTGTCTCTTGTGTCTTAATAAGGTAATGTTTGGAGATGGTTCACTGTTTACAGCAGCTGACAAGACTGGGCTATTAGTGATGGCAACTAAGCATGGACACACACGCACGCACGCACGCACGCACGCACGCACGCACGCACACACACACACACACACACACACACACACACACACACACACACACACACACACTTAGATTATCCTTTACTAAATGTACAATGACTCCACATCAGGCGACTAACTTTTATTTAAAGTGTGTGTTTCCCTCATATGGAGCAGAGTCTGATCCACTGAACTGTATGAAGTGAGTAAATATCTACTCATCTGCTACATGAGAAGTACAATACCTTTGAAGGATTTCTAAAATGTATGAGGGATGTGGAAAGCAGACAGCAACATTTGAGTTTTTATTTTTAGGAGAACAAATAAAAGGGGGACGTTTTCCCTGAACTGTGGCTTCCAAGCAGAGCTTCATCTCTAGCCCTATGCTGTTCCCAGCAACCTCGAGCACTGACATGTTCTCAGTACAGGTCAATTTAGAATTTGCGGCCATGATTGGTCCTGAGATATGCCAGTCCTTGCAAAGATGAGACATGGATTCAGCCTGAGATGAAGAACTGGGAGGAAAAAACACCCTTAGAGCTGGATTGATTGCCCCTGTGTCCTGGTAACATACACTCAAGAGCACAATGCTCTGCTCCAACTCACTCTTTCTTTATATATACAAACGAGCAACATTTAAGCATATTGATGGTTTTTTTATATATATATAATGTAAGAACCAATTTAGCCAAAAAGAGAAAAAGAAGAATCAGAAAGAGTAGAAATGTATACTAATACTCAAAGATTCTATAATCAGGTCTTTGAAGAGACACACTGAAACATAGTCCTTGCACCTGATAAAACATAATGAAGGACAAAGCTGTGTGCTCCCATGGGTAGTGGTCTACACACTGACTTGTCCTCTGAGATCATCCACTAAAGCTAATGTGCAACATGCTGTACAGTCACTGTACTGCTTATTTAGAGACCTCTAACCTCCAACTGTGCCCTTTCTTTACTTTCATCAGCACATGGCATTGGCTCTTATATAAATGACACTATAATTAATACATTCTAAACGTCAGACAAGAGCCTGTATTGTGTTGAAACAGTGTGAGGACCAAGCAGAAGCTGTTCAGTGTCACAGGAAGTCCACTGGAGCAGCAGGAGGCTGTGGGCAGTTTCACTCTGTTTACATTCACTGACAGCAGCAGAGGAGTTGGACTCACTGGAACATTGTGTCTGTGTGTGTGTGTGTGTGTGTGTGTGTGTGTGTGTGTGTGTGTGTGTGTGTGTGTGTGTTCATCTTGCTGTACTCCAACTTGTCAAAGCAGGAAGAGCAGAGATTAGTGAAGCCAGAATTAGAACCGTGTGTACAGGTAGATCTGCTGCTTGTATCTGCTTTCTGTCAGCTCTGTTCTGCTGAGTGTTTTTATCATGAACAGTGAAAGGAAGTTTGACATCCAAACCCTCGATAACAATTTAATCAGGAAGGACATCAATTAAACTGAGCAAGATACTGAAATAGCAAAATACAGATGCTGTGTCATCAGTGTGTGAATGTGAATGAATGAGTTTGTTTCTGTTTGATGGGCTTTGCCATTAATGCGTGTGAAAGGGCAAATGTGGCACATAGTGTAAAGTGTAAAAGCGCTTTCAGTGGTCGGAAGGCGCTATACAAGTCCTTTTACCACAATTACCACTTTTGTGGGAGTAGCAGAAAAGTCAGTGAAATTATTGGATAATTCAATTCAATTCAATTCAATTTTATTTGTATAGCGCCAATTCATAACAGAAGTTATCTCAGGACACTTTTCAAATAGAGCAGGTCTAGACCGAACTCTTTATAACATTATTTACAGAGACCCAACAGTACCACCATGAGCAAGCACTTGGCGACAAGGGCAAGGAAAAACCTACAACAGATCCTTCGGCTCTAGGTGGGTGGTCGTCTGTCTCGACCAGTTGGGGTGGGTGGGTGAGTGAGAGAGAGAGAGAGAGAGAGAGAGAGAGAGAGAGAGAGAGAGAGAGAGAGAGAGAGAGAGAGAGAGAGAGAGAGAGAGAGAGAGAGAGAGAGAGAGAGAGACACACACACACACACAGACAGACAGACAGCAACAACAGTATTGGTAATGGCAATCTAGCAGGACCATGGCAGGAGGCTCCACCAGGATCGATAAGAACCTGCGAGACGAGAGAGCACAAGAACTCCGGGGAAGAAGTGAAGTTAGTAACATGCATTAGTGGAACATGAATGAGTGCAGAAAGAGAGAGGAAGAGAGGAGCTCAGTGCACCATGGGAAATCCCCCGATAGTCTAGGCCTATAGCAGCATAACTAAGGGATGGTTCAGGACTCACCTGATCCAGCCTTAACTATAAGCTTTATTAAAGAGGAATGTCTTAAGCCTACTCTTGAATGTGGTGAGAGTGTCTGCCTCCTGAACCACAACTGGAAGCTGGTTCCACAGGAGAGGAGCTTGGTAATAGCACAGAGCTGATGAAATCAGAATGATAATTATCTTCTGCTTGAACTATTGCTAAAATCTTTATTTAGGTTGGAAATATTCAAGTATTATCAACTGACTGCAAGTAAAGACAACAATATAAAACTTTTTATTTGTTATCAACGGATTAAGATGGTGGTTTTAGAAAACTTTTTACTGTTACAGTCAGTTATACTTTTGACACATCAGATAGCCTATTACTGCTTTTTGTGACTACATTTAACCAAAGGTTAAATGCTATATGAAATTCACCTGCCACTAGATATCACAGAAGGGCACCTGCATCTCAGACCAAAACAATGCGGGCAAATAATCTAATAATAGATTCCATGGTTAGTGGTAGAGAATCAGAGATGAGGACATAACACAGACAGTTATTTTATGTCATTTTATTTTTCAGTATGTGAAATAATCTTCTTTCCTTATAAACATATAAACACCATGGAAGCATATTGTCATCCATGACATCTGTACAGTTGTCAATACACAAAGAAGGCTGGACTCATTCAGTGCATCCACCTGCAAATGAATCTTCAGCATTTTTGCTTTAATTCTTTTTCAACCAAAATCTTTTTCCATATTCGCAGAAAAGCCACATCCTGAAGCTATAACAGTCCATTCTATCCAGTGCTCTGCAGTCCTACAGGGCAGAGCTGTCCATATATGACCAATGAAATCCCTTATACACCAGCCAATTCCCTGATTCCTTCAAGAAGCTAGAGGAAAACACAACAGAACCTTTTCCTTAGCAATGAAAATAAGTTCTTAAAAACAAAAATAAATCTAATTTCTCAAGGCTTTAAAGAGTTTGATGGTTCAATTCATATTAGACTCCTTTTAGACAAGAGAAGTTAAGGGCTGACATAATACTTTAGAGATAGGAGCATCTCCATCTGTCATAATGTACACAATCCAGAAAGAGATGTTTTTATCCATGATGGGCATCACACAGACTTGGTTAAGGAGCAGACTTTGAGAAACAGTGAAGCACCAGGAGAATGAAGGAGACCGACTCTAACTACGTGTAAACTTTTTTGTTTCCCTCTTCGTGCACTACAGGATAGATTGTTCAGTGTATGTTTGTTATGTCGTTGTTTGCTGTATTATCCTCAGTAGTAACCTGGTTACACATACTGTAATAATTCATGACAACACTGACCCATCCTTCTTCTACAATCCCTGCAGGCAGATGGGAATAAGTACAGAGTACAGCCACATGGAACAATATTTGGAGAATAATTTCAGAATTCTGAGAGCAAAGTCAGAAGAGAAAAAGTCGTTAATTTCTTCTGAATTAATTTCTTCTCAGAATTAAAATTCTTATTTCCTCAAAGTTCATACTTATCTCCATACTTATTTTTCCACATGGTTGCTGTCCCTTGTTAAACTTGGAAAGTGTCAAAAACAAACAAAACAGAAGGACCATGAACAAAATAAAGTAGCATTATCCATCATGACCAGTCAAGCAGGAAGATAAGCTGTTCCAGTGGCAGAATCATACATACACTGTACTTTTACTACGAAACCCAATGGCTGTGACTGGACATTGCTGAGATCTCACCTGCACCAACAGTGCTGTGGTTTCCTGTTTTCCCCATTTTTGTTCACGTGAACATTAGTTTCCTCTAAGACCTCAAAGTTTATCCATAGATGATGATTATGATGACAGAGGTTTCAGCTCGGTTTCAGCTCGGCTTCAAAGGTGTTTATTCTTTGGACACGTCTACCAGGGCTAACTATCCAAACAAAAGCCTTCTGTTTGGTACTGGGAACGGTCTGATCAACTGATCACCTGTAACAAAACTGATGTTGTAGCAGCTTTGTAAAAAGGAAATAAATAAAATGAATAAAAAAAACATATTTGAGGAAATTTCTGTCTAAGGCCATTTGTCTGTGATTGGTCAATTGTGAAACAGAGGTAGTGGACAGATCAAAGATCAGAACAACACTAGAGCGTGGTCCTCTCTCTGCATGTGTTCTCAGGGCTAGCATGATAGGGATAACAAGGGAAACAGCTGAAAACACTAGCTGTGCAGGCAACTGGGGTTATGCAGTCAGTTGTGACCTCAACAGCAGAAAGAGCCAGGCCATTATTTGAACAGGACGGCATTAGAGACAGGCCTGTAATACCTTCAATTTGGTCCTATTGAACCGAAATCACAAAAATCCACATTCTTTGGAAGAGTTTTTGCAAAGTGCCTTCATCATGTTGAGTTTTGTCCATTTCTGTTGTCCAGTTCATCTTTGGTAGTGCCCCACCACCCATGTCCCTTTGACTGTAGTTATTCCTTTTCATGAAGCTAGTTAAGTCTGAATTAACATGTGCATGTCAGTGTAAACACACAGCCTTGACCTGCAGATTCCATAGCATATAGACTATTGATCTCTCCATCTCTTTTCCAAGAAAACCAAGTGTTTCAACAGTCAGGCACTGCTGGGATCCCTCTTGATGTTATGGAGAGAATAGTGTCCTGTGGTGTCTAGATGTAGTCATCGTCCACAGGTTCTCCTGGTGTATCACAGTGATGGAGGAAGAGGACCACCACTCTCTGAAACACTCCTCTTTTGCTCTGTCTGCGCTCTGAGATCTCCTCCCCGATGGTCTCCATGCAGATGTCAGCTGACAGCTGGCCTTTACGCCGCGGGGCGTAGATGGTGGCTAACATGACAAAACAGAGAGGAAAACATTTTGATAGCTTCAAAATACATACCTTGTCAACACACACTGACACGTACTTACACATTCTTTCCATCATTTCTGTTACACAAAAATAAAATACCACCTATATAAATTATTAAAATAATCTGCATCACACTTTTTGTACATACATGCATGCATGCATAGACTACACTCATTCTCACCTTTTCCCTTCCTAAATAAACACAAATACACATACACCCAGCTGACACCTCACCCGGCACCCCACACATTCAACAAAGCCGCCCTTCCCATCTCAGAGTGTGGCAACTTCTTTAGCCTAGCACAAAGCATAGGGGGCGGCTGTGGTGCAGAGGCAGAGTGGGTCGTACAGCGAATGTGTATGAATGAGTTAGTTTCTGTTCGATGGGCTTTGCCATCGCTGTGTGAATGTGTGTGAAAGGGCAAATGTGGCATGTTGTGTAATGAAATACTAAGAACTGTGTACATTTAGGAAATAACCATGTGGAGTTACTGTTGAAAGGACAGATGTATGTACTGACTGCACTCACTGCTTTCATCGTCCTCAAAGTCATAGCGGGCGTAGCTGTTGGGATCAGCTGCTCTCAGAGTCCTCAGCCAGGGGAAGTCTGTTATCATGCTGTAGGGAGCACCATCCACCAATCCTAAACAACAATAGCATCATAGAAGATGTTAACTTTAAAAACTGACTTTAAAATGACTCTGAACACCCAATCTCATGTGACAACCAGCTGGTTGGTTGGTTTTTACATATTAATGAGTCAAAAGTATTTGCTCCAAGAATGAAGAATGTTAGGATGGGTGTATGTACATGTCAAACCACAGTGGAAAACTAAAAATCTGTGAGGGTTATTGTAGGTTGGACTGTATTACCCTCCAGTGTATAGATATCCCGGCCCCAGGGGTATGTGGGATATTTTTTCAAATCCTCTTCTGTCCTTGTGGCCTCTGGGAAGAACTCATACTTGATTAACTCTCTGTGAGAAAGAAAGAAAGAAAGAAAGAAAGAAAGAAAGAAAGAAAGAAAGAAAAAAAAAAAAAAAAAAAAAAAAAAAAAAAAAAAAAAAAAAAAAAAAAAAAAAAAAAAAAAAAAAAAAAAAAAAAAAAAAAAAAATTTTTTTTTTTTTTTTTTTTTATTTTTTTTTTTTTGTTTTCATATTTTTTAATAAATTTTTTTTTTTTTTATTTTGTTGGGGTTTTTTTTTGGGCTTGATGCAATTAAATCACATCAGTGCAACTCAACGCACGCACCTTCCTTGTGCATTTATTTCACAGGCAGACAGTGTAAACCTGATTAACCTTCCTGCATAAATATCTACTTAGCAAAATACACAATAAGATAATAATAAATTGTATCATTTTATTCCTTGTGCAAAAGAAGCACATACACTCAGTGGCCACTTTATTAGGCACTTCTGTACAATTTAATGTAGTCAAATACAACAGCCCTGCCATCCAAAGCCCACAATGTTCAGCTTTTGGTGATGTGGGACATTTGTAAATTATGTAAATTACTGAGATCATAGTTAAAAGTCCCTCCAATTTACATACAACTCTGATTTAATGCAGTCCAGTAGAACACCAGCACTAACAAACGCAACAACAAACACATCAATACAACAAAAACTGAACATTATAGGCATTTCATACGACTCAACAGTTGTGTTGGGTCATTAGACCAGGGGTCTCCAATATGGTGCCCTGGGGCTACCAGCAGCCTACAGTATGAACATGTTCTGTAATTTAAATTTTTAATATTTAAGATATTTATTTCATAACACCACAAGGACGTGTACTAATGGGCTCCTTTGTCTCAAAACATATGTTATTAAAGTATACCAAGACTGGCCTTATTAAATGTGGCAAAGAGACAGAAGCAGAGGCAACAAAATTATTCATTCCAGCACAGTTTGGACAAAATCTGAAATAAAGTGACACAGCCTTCAGAGATCAGATACTACTCACTGGCTGATGTTGGCTATGGTGTCCATCCAGCTGCGAATGCGAACCTTGTTGCGTATATTTGGAGGGTTGCTGAACTCATGCACTATAGCAATGTGATAGGGATAGGGCCCCTGGAAGAGCTGACGCTCCAGTGCCACGGAGTCAATCTGAAGGAGGAAGAGAGAGAAGAGATGTGAGAATTAAGCATTGTTCTAGTGAGGGCAAAAAGAATGAGGGATGGAGAGAGACAATGGAGAGAAAGTTGCCATGAAGAATTTTCAAAAGGCAGTTAAAGAAGAAAGGGCATCCTTCTTCTATAATTTCATTTAAGCAAACTCCAGGATTTTATTTAACATAACAGACTCAGTCATCACACCCTCCCCCTGTCATTTTAATGATGACTCTGAAGAGATGCCCAATATTAATTAATATTAACAATTAATAAAGATGCTGTGGTCCAACCTCTTTGTTCTGAACAACCTTCAGGCCAATTTCTAAACTTCAATTTTTCTCTAAAAGTTTTAGCAGAAGTGGTTTAAACCCAACTTTTAGTTTTTATGTTTCATAATAACATCTTTATGAAATCAGGGAGGTTTTAGAGCTTCAGATAGCACAGAAACTGCCCTGCTCCATTAGTTACCAATGACCTCTAGATAGGGCTTCTTGCGTTTTGCGCTAGTGATTTGTTAGATTAGTTAGGAATTTTTAGTGAGCCAGATCATTTGGCTCAGCTCAGCAATAAGAGTCGGCTCTTTCAGGTCCCAAACGGCTCTTCCAATTCTGCCTTTATATAGTATTTCACAATGTATTTACTTCTCATTGGTATGTGTACAAATATAGGCTTTACTTAAGTATTTCATGTAACTGAATTAATTTCCAGAAAACCAAAATTAATAAGTGAATAATAAAATATCAAAGACTGTTACATGTGTGCACTGAATGTATCATTTCTACTGAAGCTCATATTCATATATACCATAGCCGATGTGCCGTGGATGCAACCACATGCATCTCTCTTAATACATCCATGATTAGGATTCGGTTTCTAAGGGAACAGAGATGACATCACAGATTACCAACCTGGTGCATAGGGCGCATGTAGATGATGCGGTTCCTCTCAGCAGGCATTCTCAGTATCTGATCAAGGACCTGTTCCATATCCAGCTTCTTACACTGAGCGTAATCAAACCTGTTCACTATGGGAGCACTTTCTACTCGCAGCTGCTTTAACACTCGACATCTGGTGGCTACAGAGAGGAAAGATGCAAAGACACAGCGGTTTGTGACTGTGTGTTCTGACTCAATATAAAGACTGAACATAAATGACTGGGAGTATTAGTTTTGGTTGGTTTAGATTGATTTATTTGTTTATTTAGTAGGAACATTTAGAAGACTACAACACTTTCACGCAAAACCCTATACTTAAGCAGGATAATGAACGTGTGTTGTCCCTATGTCTGAATCATTTCCAGTATACCATCACCATTACTAAAATCATATTAAATCTTTAACAGTTCAATACTAGATGACAAAGAGATTATGCATACTACATTTGGTGATATATGGAGACTCTAATGGTGAGATTAGGTTTTTTTTCCCAATACAATCAAAGATCATATATTGAGCAAACAGGAAATCCTCCTCCAGTAAGAGGTTTTAGTTGAAGATTATTAGTACATATATAGTCAAAGTAATGCAAAATAAGAAATGAGAAAAACATCAATATGAGTCATCAAAAAAAAAGTGCCCCTATGTGTTCGTTACCATGGATGAACATCATCTTGGGGCAGTCTTTGAGTACCAGGTCAGTTATTCCACAGTTAGTCAGTGTGATTCCCACCAGGTTCTTACTCTTCAGAGACAAAATCTGCATGAGCAAAAGCACCTCAGCGTGTCAATAAACTGGCAAAGAATACATAGTGTACAACTGTTAAAGTCAATGTTAACTTCCCAAAAAACATTTACAACAGAAGAGCAACAGAGTTACCAAGACATACACCGATCAGCCATAACATTATGACTATCTGGGCACCCTGGTGGTCATAATGTTATGCAGCCCCATACACAACTGACTGTGAGGCTCTGTATGTTCTGAGAACAAGCATTAACTTTTTTAGCAGTTTAAGCTACAGTAGCCAACCTTTGCTCCCCATGTGCATCAATGACCCTGTGCTGGTTCACCACTTTGCCTTCCTTGGACCACTTTTGATAGGTACTGAGCACTGCAGACCGGCAACAGCCCATAATATGAATTGGCGCTATACAAATAAAATTGAACTGAATTGAATTGAATTAATAGCTGCAGTTCTGGAGATGCTCTGACCAACCTGATCTCAGGTATCAGGAACTCTGACTCTAGCCATCACAATGTGACCCTTGTCAAAGTCACTCAAATCCTCACACTGCCCATTTTTCCTGCTTCTAACACATCAACCTGAGGACAAAATGTTCACTTGCTGCCCAATATAACCCACCCACTGACAGGTGCCATGATAACCAGATAATCAGTGTTATTCACTTAACCTGTCTGTGGTCATAATTTTATGGCTGATCGGGGTATCTACTTATGTTGATAAGACAACAAACATGAAGAAAAAGGTCCCTCTGACCTCAAGATTCTCCCTCCGAGCACCGCCTGCAAAACTCTGGCTCCCCCCAGGGGAGGAAAACCTTCATAATATTTTACTTTAAATAAAACATAGTAAACTTGTTACCAAGTGATTTTCATTATATACTATATATTATTTAAGATATAAAAAGTATTCACCGCCTCTGGACTTTGAATGACAGTCAATTGGTTACACTTTAACAATGATAAACAGGGGCTATAAGACTATAATGTCACTGTGAAAACAAATTTGTTGGTGTGTTGGTGTGTGTGTGTGTTGGTGTGTGTGTGTGTGTGTGTGTGTTGGTGTGTGTGTGTGTGTGTTGGTGTGTGTGTGTGTGTGTTGGTGTGTGTGTGTGTGTGTTGGTGTGTGTGTGTGTGTTGGTGTGTGTGTGTACCTGTATGTGATCGTCCTCAGTGACCGGGTCTGAAGTGCTGGTTGATTTGTCAGCCATTCGTTTTCTCCTCACCGTCACTCGTGGCCTGGCTCTAGAAAGATCTACAAAACATAAACAACACAAATATCACCTTAAATAATACACGCACATAACACACACGCACACACCTCTAAAAGTATTGGAACAGTTGGACTTAAAATAGATTAAACTGAATAAGACTTAATATTTAGTTGCAAATCCTTTGCTTGCAATAACTGCATCAAGCCTGTGACCCACTGACATCACCAAACTTTTGCATTCTTCTTTTGTGATGCTGTTCCAGGCTTTCACCGCAGCCTCTTTCAGTTGTTGTTTGTTTTGGGGGGTTACTCCCTTCAGTCTCCTCTTTAGCAGGTAAAATGCATGCTCTATAGGGTTTAGGTCTGGAGATTGACTTGGCCAGTCTAAAACCTTCCACTTCTCGCACCTGATGAACTCCTTTGTTGTTTTAGCAGTGTGTTTTGGGTCATTGTCTTGCTGCATGATGAATCCCAATCAGTTTGGTTTCATATTTCTTTAAATTGGCAGACAAAATGTTTCAGCAGACTTCTGAGTTCATTTTGCTGCTGCCATGTTACATCATCAATGAAGATTAATGAGCCCGTGCCAGAAAAAGCCATGCAAGCTTAAGCCATGACATTACCTCCACTGTGTTTCACAGATGAGATTGTATGTTTGGGATCATGAGCAGATCCTCTCTTTCTCCTAACTATAGCCTTTCCATCACTTTGGTAAAGGTTATCTTTGTTTCATCAGTCCATAAAACTTTGTCCCAGAATCTTTGAGGCTTGTCTCTGTACTTTTTGGCAAATTCCAGCCTGGCCTTCCTATTCTTCCTGCTAATGAGTTTTGCATCTTCTGGTATAGCCTCTGTACTAACAGTAGATTGTCATACATTCACTCCTGCCCTCTGGAGGTTCTTGCTGATGTCATTAACAGTTGTTTCTTTACAGCTCTCACAATGTTTGTCGTCAACTATTGCTGTTTTCCTTGGTCTGCCCATTCGACGTCTCTTACTTAGTACACCAGTGGTTTCCTTCTTCTTCAGGACATTCCAAATGGGTGTACTGGCTACTGGCTAAGACCAATGTTTGATCTGATTGATTTTCCATCTTCTCTCAGCTTCACAATTGCTTGTTTTTCACCCACAGACAGCTCTATGGTTTTCATGTTGGTTACACCTCTAACTATAAATGCAGTCTGCACAGGCAAAACCCAAATCTGAAACTGAGCATAGACATTCAGAGCTATTTATTGTTTGAATAATCAATGTAATAGGACACACCTGGGAAACAAAACACAGCTGTCAATCACATGTTCCAATACTTTTGCTCACATGAAAAATGGATGGGTTCAAACAAAAGGTGCTACCTTCTAAGTTGTACATCAGGTCAGGATGTAAATACCTGGAAATAAAAGCTGAAATGTTGATCTCTTGTCTCATATTATATATTATAGAAAGGCCCTCCGTAATGCCAGAGGAGCCTATTACTCAGCACTAATAGAAGAAAATAAGAATAACCCTAGGTTCCTCTTCAGCACTGTAGCCAGGCTGACAGAGAGTCACAGCTCTATTGAGCCACATATCCCCATAAACTTAAGTAGCAATGACTTCATGAGCTTCTTCTATAATAAAATTACTATTAGAGAAAAAATTAATCACCAACTGCCATCAACAGTTATCAGTGGCTCTCCAAGTTCAGGGACTTCTGTCAATGTAAACTTACATATATTTAGACTGTTTTTCTGCTATCGATCTTCATCAGTTAACTTCAATCATTTCTTCATCGAAGCCATCAACCTGTCTATTAGACCCGATCCCAACTAGGCTGCTTAAAGAAGTTGTTCCCTTAATTGGCACTTCTTTACTGGATATGATTAATCTTTCTTTATTATCAGGATATGTACCACAGTCCTTTAAAGTAGCTGTAATTAAACCCCTTCTTAAAAAGCCCACTCTTGACCCAGGGGTTTTAGCCAACTATAGACCGATTTCTAACCTCCCCTTCCTCTCTAAGATTCTGGAGAAAGTAGTCGCCAAAGAGTTGTGTGACTTTCTACATAACAATAGTTTATTTGAGGATTTTCAGTCAGGATTTAGAGTTCATCATAGCACAGAGACAGCTCTGGTTAAAGTTAATAATGACCTTCTGACTGCTTCTGACAATGGACTTGTCTCTGTACTTGTATTATTAGATCTTAGTGCTGCATTTGACACCATTGACCATAATATTCTTTTACAGAGACTTGAGCATCAAATTGGCATTAAAGGAACCGCACTATGCTGGTTTAAGTCATATTTATCAGATCGCTCGCAGTTTGTACATGTTAACGATGAATCTTCAATAAATACTACAGTTAGTCATGGAGTTCCACAAGGTTCTGTACTTGGACCAATACTATTTACTTTATATATGCTCCCTTTAGGCAACATTATTAGGAATCACTCCATTAACTTTCACTGTTATGCAGATGATACGCAGTTATATCTATCAATCAAGCCCAATGAAATTAATCAATAATCTAAACTACAAACATGTCTTAAGGACATAAAATCCTGGATGACCTGCAATTTTTTGATGTTAAACTCAGAAAAAACCAAAATTCTTGTTCTTGGCCCCAAAAACCTTAGAGACTCACTGTCTAAAGATATAGTTACTCTAGATGGCATTAACTTGGCCTCTAGCACCACTGTCAGGAATCTTGGAGTTATCTTTGATCAGGATTTGTCATTTAACTCCCACATAAAGCAGACCTCTAGGACTGCCTTCTTTCATTTACGTAATATTTAGACACACGTAAATTAGACACATACTATCACAGACAGATGCAGAAAAACTAATCCATGCATTTGTTACTTCAAGGCTGGATTACTGCAACTCTTTATTATCAGGTTGCCCCAATAAGTCCATTAAAACGCTCCAATTAATTCAGAACGCTGCAGCACGAGTACTGACAGGAACTAGAAAAAGAGATCACATGTCTCCTGTACTAGCTTCGCTGCATTGGCTCCCTGTAAAATGTAGAATAGAATTTAAAATCCTCCTCCTCACCTATAAAGCTCTTCATGGTCAGGCCCCTTCATATCTTAAAGAGCTCATAGTACCCTATTACCCCTCTAGAACACTACGTTCTCTGAATGCTGGGCTACTTGTGGTTCCTATAGTCTCTAAAAGTAGAACAGGAGCCAGAGCCTTCAGTTACCAAGCTCCTCTCCTGTGGAACCAGCTTCCATTTGTGGTTCGGGAGGCAGACACCCTCACCACATTCAAGAGTAGGCTTAAAACATTCCTCTTTGATAAAGCTTATAGTTAGGGCTGGATCAGGTGAGTCCTGAACCATCCCTTAGTTATGCTGCTATAGGCCTAGACTATCGGGGGATTTCCCATGGTGCACTGAGCTCCTCCCTTCCTCTCTCTTTCTGCACTCATTCATGTTCCATTTATGCATGTTACTAACTTCACTTCTTCCCCGGAGTTCTTGTGCTTTCTCGTCTCGCAGGTTCTTGTCGATCCTGGTGGAGCCTCCTGCCATGGTCCTGCTAGATTGCCAATACTGTTGCTGTCTGTCTGTCTGTCTGTCTGTCTGTCTCCAACTGGTCGAGACAGACGACCACCCACCTAGAGCCGGAGGATCTGTCCTAGGTTTCTGCCTTTTAACAGGCAGTTTTTCCTTGCCCTTGTCGCCAAGTGCTTGCTCATGGTGGTACTGTTGGGTCTCTGTAATTAATGTTTTAAAGAGTTCGGTCTAGACCTGCTCTATTTCAGAATCAGAATCAGAATTTTGTTTATTGCCAAGTAGGTCTTTACGCCTACGAGGAATGTGACCTGGTGCAATTGGTGCATAAAAATATATACATATACAATTACAAATATACAATTATTTAAATCACACAAAAATCACACAGAAAAATAAAGTACTTTCAAAAAATAAATAGATAAAGATAAGAAGAGAAAGAGAAAGCTGTGCAGAAGTACGTGGGAGCATTAATGTAATGCATACTATATATACAGGGCGGGTATAAGAGTCAATGACAGTGGGTAGACCGGGCCTTGTTAAGGAGGCCAGCTGCAGACGGGAAGAAACTGTTTTTATGGCGAGACTTGAAAAGTGTCCTGAGATAACTTCTGTTATGAATTGGCGCTATACAAATAAAATTGAATTGAATTGAATATTCATCTTTTGATGTCAAACCCAAATGTTTTCAGTCTACAGCAAAAATAAAGGAATTGACCTCACTGTTCCAATACTTTTGGAGGGGAGTGTATATGAAACCGACCAAACACAAACGGCTTCATATGCACTCCTCTAAAGTGATAGTTAATGGACACAAAACTGCTCTGTGTTTGTAACTTCATTCTTACCTGTCTCAGGTATCAGGGACACAGAGGACATACGGGTACAGGAACGGGTCAAAGGTCGTCTAGGAACAAAGTCCTCGTCTCTGGCCTGACCCTGCTGTGAAACTGAACCAGCAGCAGAGGTAGATCCAGCAGGGACAGGTTGTCTCTCTCCTTGTCCAACCAGCAGTGCTGGTCTCCTGGAAGCATCTCTGGGCCCCAAACTGTCCACACCTGCAATGCCAGAGCTCTGCCTCACCCCAGACTCCCTTGGGCAACTGTCCCCAGTCTGCGCTCTAGAGGGGCCCTCTGTGCCATCAATAGTCCTGCCAGTTCCTGTAGCTCTGTCATTGGTTGTGGTTGCTCTGTAGGTGGTTCCCGCTACCACCCTCCCACATCCATCCACTTGCCTGGATGTAGCTACTCCAGGTCCAACCCTGCTCACAGATCCAGTCACTGGCCTGACTCCAGTCCTTGCTGCTGCCCCAGCACTCCCAGTGCTCCGTACTGGCCCACCCTCAGCCCCAGGCCTTGTACTGGTCTCTCCAGCCTCAGTAGTAACTCCTTTGTTGCTAGTCCTCTTACTGTTCTCAACAGCAGCCTTCATGTCTGCCTTGATCTGTTCACTGGTCACCTGACAGCTCTTCTCACAGCTGCTCTCTAACACCTGAGCCTTTGTCTGGTCTACTGAGGCTGCCACTGATACAGCCACATTGTTGCTCCGGCGGAGAGGAGTCTTTCCTTTACCTGGAAACACACACACATTAATGTTACACTGGTGTGGACCAGTGTTACGCTAGTTACTCATTACTCTTTTATAAAGTAATATGATTACTTTACTTGTTACTCCCTGCCAACAGTAATCAATTACACTACTATCTAAATTACTTTTCTGGTACTCCCCACAAAATTGGAAATTGTGTTCTTGCTCCCCAAAATTCCGACTTACGATGATGAAAATCCAGTTTTGTTTCTTAAAATCAAAGTAATGGAATATTTCCACCTGCTTTCCATCTTCCAAACTAGGTTCCTCCACGATTACAAAAAATTAATAACTAATTATTTTTTGGGGGTAACTGATATTATTACTGAAACGTATTACTAATTAGTAGTTACCTACGAGTGGGGAAAGTAATAATTCTTACTGTAATATTATTACTAGTGATGAGTTACTGCCCAACACTGGTGGGGACACACTATTCTCTTCTATTCACTCCAGAAATAACTTATCAAAAGACTTTTTCAAGCACTGGTCAATTTTGAGATTTTGGGATATTTTTTGTCCATATTGGATGTGGCAGACGGCCATCCAAGAGCTTTTCCTTGCTGCTGTCGCCAAGTGCTTGTTCGGGGGGAACTGTTGGGTCTTTGTAAATAATTTTATAAGGAGTACGATCTAGACCTACTCCATTTGAAAAGTGCCCTGAGATAATTTTCTGTTATGAATTGGTGCTATACAAATAAAACAGAACTGAGTCAACATTTCTTCTTAAAGACTAGTACAAAAAAAAATGTCCAAAATACACATTCAGGTTTACTTTACTACACTTTGTCCATGAGTGTGTAGATTTCACCAAAGGTTAGTGTTACATAATGCCTAATGCCCATATTTAAACCAATCATTTCAGAAAACTTGTAATACAAAAAAAAATAATAATAATAATTGTCTCAATGCAAGTAATCAATAGGGAAGGTTTTATGGTCTATTAATTACAATTTCTACCCTATTCACCTGTTGTGTGTGTCCCTTGACCATTCTTTTGTTTCTGTTTTCAGCTGTAAATTTATGTATTGAGTGTGTGGCCAAAAACAGTTTTACACTACAATTTATTTATTCATTTTTTAAATTGAAAAAGAAAGGCCAGAATTGTCACTTTCACATATGCTCTCATACTGTAGCTGTTGTGTTACAGACACACATTGTGAGATGCAATGGTAAGCTCATCAAACACACTTTTGTGACAGCTGGGTGTGTTCTGTGTTGTGCTGACACCTTCTGTACAGGAAGCTGGCTGCTGCAAACAGGAAGCTGGCATTAGCCTTGAAACAAGGCCTTCCTCTTCCTCACTGTCCGAATCAGAGATGACCAGTGGGGGCTTGGGAACAGGGACACCAGCTGATCTGCACTGCTGGACTAAACCACTGGGACCTGGAGGTAAATGTAAATGGACTGTACTTGTATAGCGCCTTTTTAGTCATCTGACAACTCAAACTGCTTTTACACTACATTCTGCATTCACCCATCCACACACAGTCATACAGTCATAGTGATGGATGACCCGTCACAAACAGAAACTAATATTCATCCACTATGCACAGCATCAGGAGCAATTTGGGGTATCTTGCTCAAGGACATGCAGCAGGAGGAGCCGGGATCGAACCGCCAACCTTCTGATTAGTGGACCCACTCTACCTCCTGAGCCACAGCCGCTCCAAGGTGTGGTGGGAAGTATATATCAGGAGATATCAAAACTCATAAAATGGGGAATAAGAGTGTAGGAGCGCACCAACAGAGGTCTTACCCTCTGCTAATGATAAAATAAAAAAAAACAAGAGTAGAACCTGCTTGCTCCTCATCAGGAGGTTGTGTTGTTCCAGTTGGACGACTGGGCCCTGGAGATATGTCAGCTTCCTCCACTCTCACCTCCTCTTCTGCTCCTTTCAGCTCTATCTGAGGCTCAGCCTCCATTTTCTCCTCCTCCAACATAACCTCCTCCTCCTCATCCTCGTCGTCCTCCTCCACTTCCTCCTCATCCTCCATCCCATTCATCTCCACTGGTGCTGTGAAAACAAACAAAACTTCTTATTTTCAGTGACATGGTTATGTTTTCAGCTCCATTTGTTTATTTCTCTCAAAAACATTGCCCTATCTGAAAGCAACCTACTTAACATACTGATTTTAGGAGGTTATTGAGTCTGCCACACTTGCTCTTTTTACAAAGCACTAACAGGAAATGATGGTAAAGACTGTGGCTCTGCTGACTAAGAATGAAGTTGAGACTTGCCATTGTGCTGCTGCTGCTGCCTTTGGTTGTTGTTGTTGTTGTTGTTGTTGATGTTGATGTTGTTGACGACGACAGGTGGAGGGGCAGGAGGCAAGTTTGCCTCATTATTGTGGTGGTGGTGGTGGTGGTGGTGGTGGTGGTTGTGGTTGTTGTTGTTGTCATTGTCGTTGTTGGAGTTCTGGTTGCTGACCAGTGCCGAGGACACACCAATACCAGTTCCTGCACTCAGGCCCACCCTGGCACAGCCCTGATACACATAATGCACTTTATTAAGCAGATTAGGTATTAGCCACACACACACCAATGATTCACAATAAATATAATTATTTGCTTGTTGTAGCTGCCATGAATGGATTAAAATAGAAACAATCACGCAATCCAAGTACTACCATTATATCTATCACAGAAAATGCTGTAATATAAGATCTATGAGATGCATGAGAAGGGTGCATATAACTGTGTGTGGGTTTATGAACATACTGTTACGGTGGCCGACAAGGGCAACCACGCTGCAAACGGCAAACGCTGCAAACACGGGAATAATGCAAATCCAAAAACACACAAAAACAGAAAACAGAAAAAAAACACATCAACAGAAAAATGCTGCAATCACAGAAATGAAGCAGAAGCAAAAACGTACAAACCCACAAAACAAATGCCAGATAGAAACGCTGCATATTCACTCAACAAAACGGAAGTGCGCCAGGCCACTAGGGGGACCCAACCTGAGGGATGGACCAGTCCTGTGGGACCCAAAAGACATGAAGAAGAGGGTTGGCCAAGTTTTGGAGAGGACAGTAAAAAGGTAAGTTTTCCTTTGTCTTTTTTTAAACACTTGGCTGTAATCTTTTATAATATTATACTATTTAATACTATATAAGAATATTATAATTATGATGTTATACAAGATTACGGCCAAGTGTTTAAAAAAGACAAAGGAAAATCCTCCTCCTCCTCCTCCTCCTCCTCCTCCTCCTCCTCCTCCTCCTCCTCCTCCTCCTCCTCCTCCTCCTCCTCCTCCTCCTCCTCCTCCTCCTCCTCCTCCTCCTCCTCCTCCTCCTCCTCCTCCTCCTCCTCCTCCTCCTCCTCCTCCTCCGTTGAGCGACTTTGCAGCGTTTCTCTCTTGGAGTTGTTTTGTGTGTTTTTGGTATTTGGAACATTTTTCTTTGGCATTTGTTTTGTGGGTTTGTATGTTTTTTCTTTGTTTGTGATTGCAGCATTTTTCTGTTGTTGCATTTTTCTGTTGGATTTGTTTTATGTGTTTGTGTGTTTTTGGATTTGCATCATTCCCGTGTTGGCAGCGTTTTGCCGTTTGCAGCGCGTTTGCCCTTGTCGTGTCGGCCACCGTATACTGTATACCTTGGGTGGTTCTCTAAACATCTGGTCCAGACAGATAAACTCCAGACTGGGCAGTAACTCTATGAACTGGGAGAAGGATTCCAGTTTGATAGCATGACAGCGAACCAGAGTGAGATCAACCAGGCGGCCCCATCTTGACTGATCTGAAGACAGAAACAGACAGAACACATACACCATTTTACTACATCACTTTTCAAAAGAAGTGAGAGATGAAAGACTGGAAGAAAATAAATGTTCTACTTGGTACGCAGTACTCTTAATTAAATACAGAAACTGAGAGCGTAAGGACTTTAATATTTGGGCCATGTGTTACTTAAGTTATGCAAGTACAGGTGAGGACTAAAATGTGAAGAGTTAAAAAGGACTGTGTTTTACCTGTGATCCACTGGTGGGGGTTATGTAGGTGAGGACAGTTGTAGATGAGGAGGTATTTAATATTGGTGAACACCTCGTTCACCACCCTGATGCCAATATCAGTGATGATGCCTGGATTCTCAATGACATCTGCCAGACCGTACTTCACCAGCTCCGAATGACTCATCTTACCTGCATTCACACACGCACACACAAAAAAATAAACTTGGACTTTCTAACTGAGGACTTATCGGAACACAAACATTTGGGATACAATAATCACAAACTGTGGGAGAGCCTGATTGGACTACCTCCATCTGCCTCTGTGGTTTGTTTACATAGACAATCTGCTCCATGTGCAGTTGAGTAGGAATTGCTGTTTCTCTCATTACATCAGAGAATTAAAAAGGTCCAGTGTGTAACGTTTAGGAGGATCTATTGGCGGAAATGGAATATAATATTCATCGGCATGTTTTCATTAGTGTAATCACTCGAAATTAAGAATTGTTGTGTTTTTGTTACCTGAATGAGCAGTTTTTATCTACAGAGAGAATGGGTCGCCTTTCAGGGAGGCCTACACGTTTCTACAGTAGCCAAGAAGGGACAAACCAAACACTGGCTCTAGATAGCGTTCACGTGCATTTCGCAGCCACAGTAGTTTCTCCTTTATACTTGTAATGAGAGGATGGTAAGTGAGAGAGCACCAATCTGCAACTATTCAATACAATTTTATTTTATTTGTATAGCACAATATCGCAACAGAAGTTATCTCAGGACACTTTTCAAATAAAGCAGGTCTAGACTGTACTCCTTATAAAATTGTGACACAATTCCCACTACACTGCTATATGCCACTAAACCCTACACACTGGACATTTAAGGATTAATTTCCACCGCTGTCAGAGGGAAAAAACTAAAACTGGGATGCACTGTGATGACGGGCACAGTTAGCTTAAGTTGTGGCCTTTGCAGTCCTTTTCAAGATTTCTTTTTTCTCTGTGAATTAAGGGTTTATTTTTATCAAACCAATGTTCCAACGATCAAGTTTGTTTTAGCCTGATTGATCCCTGTTCCAATCCATAACTAATTGCCTGCATACAAGCTGTTTTTTTTGTTTTACTAAATAAAGAATAAAATATCAAACCCTGTTACTAGCTTTTTGCTCACAGGGCTTTTATTGCACTTGCACTGGTGTGGTGGGTGTGATTGTGTCGGCTCTCCACCGCTGTCTGTCTCTTTCGCCACAGGCAGCTCAGCCCCTGCTCTTACATACACACACACGGAGGTCAGCAGAGTGGAGGAGAGACAGAAAGCAAAGGGAGATGATGCCAGCTGGCCTTGTTGCATTGCTGTGCACAACAGCACAATACAGATCAGTTAAAAAATTATTTGATCCGTCCCAATACAGATTTGAGATTAGATCAGGACATCCCTAGTGGAAATACTTACAATACTTTTGTTCTTGACTGAGATGCAGGGATTCTAGTACAACAAGCAATCCCTCTGCCCCCCCCACCACCCCACCATTTCCTGTCTTCATCTGCACTGTGCCCTAAAAACGAAATGCTGAAAAATTATTAAAATATAAAAAGAAATGTTAACAAAAAAGGACGTCAATGGATGAAGTACAAGAGAACCCAAGAGAATTGTTCATTTCTGTCAGAGAAGGGGAAGTATCCAGTGTTCTCGCCTGTTGGCGATATTTGAAAGAGGGGACTAACATTGTAGCAGGAACTCATCCACGTATCCCAGATGAAGTGTCTCAAACTGAGGAAACTCTAGTTCAGCCATTTTGAGAGCTGAGAAGACGCCATCTTTAGTCAGTGAAGGCTGGATACGCAGCTCATGAAGCCTGTTAAACACAGAAATCACATAATTAAATGTACGCATTTATGTTGGTTCATATTGAGCAAAACAATATTCTGCAGTTGCCCATGTTTTCTGCTGATAGTCGAAGTTAAAAACATTTTTTTTATTAATTTAATTTCAACAAAATCATGTGTTTAAACCTAACCCTGCTCTAATATATAGATAGCAAGGTAATGCTGTGATAATTATTCTAACATTCTGTGTACTGAATATACTATCCATAGCTATTTTGAATATTGACACAGCATTATGCCTGAGGAACTTCAGTGTAAAAGTGGGTATTGGCCTTGACAATCTCATACATGGTAAATGGTTTGTACTTGTATAGCACCTTTGTAGTTTTCCGACCTTTTACACTACATGCCACATTCACCCATTTACACAAGTCCATCACACAGAAACAAATTCATTCATTCATTCATTCATTCATTCATTCACACAGCTGCATCGGGAGCCATCTAGGGTACAGTATCTTGCTCGAGGACACTTTTGTGATTGAACCACCAACAGTATCACTGCACTTCTTACTTTGGATGTTCTTCATTTACTTTGTCACAGATTGCTTTGCAAGACTGAACAGTGACTAAACAGTGTGCACATCTGACCACAATATTCCAATGAAACCCTTTAAAAATATAAGCTGTGTTTGTTTCTCAGTCAGTTTAAGGAACTGATGACTGGCTGAGCACCTGCGAGCAGCAGTGATGATGAGGTAGCCCAAGTCCACTTCCAGAGCATTCTTACAGGCTCCAAACACAATTGTGTGGAGGTTCCGAAATCCTCCTGGAGATATACAGACACAGCATTACAGACAACAAACACAACTTATTAACCCTTAATCAAAGGTGTGAGCTTTTGGGGCATTTGTCAGCATTTTGATTAGATTCACGACATCCCAACTGGTATTGAATTTCAGGTTTATACTTATGAACTTATTTGGGGGGGGGGTCTACTATAATAGGTTTACATGCTTTAATGTTCAATAAAAAAAACTAAAAAAAAACTACGTACTACTCAGTATGTATATCACAGAAGCTTAACAGGCTGATAGCAGCTCACTGAATCAGTTTAATAAAAAGTATTACTCCAGTAATTCATATTTAGGGCTTTCTAGAAACCTATGCTCTCCTCACCTGACCTCCAGCTGTCCTCCACCACATGTTGGATCAGTCCTCCCAGGAAGGGGACTCTCACCAGCTCCAGCTGCTCCAGGTTCCGGGCTGATGCTAAACCAGTAACCAGGGGAACATATTTGAGGGAATTTGTTGGCCCTGCGCAGTTCCGCATAACAAAGGTTCTCAGGCTCACACACAGGAAGTCCTTAAACGGCTGTGGTTTGGTGAGACGGACCCACTTTAGGTAAAGGTGCCGCAGCATGGACACACAGGGGATCTCTGGGACATTCACACCTACAACAAACAAACAAACCCTATGTAAATGGTAAAATGGTAAATGGACTGTACTTATATAGTGCCTTTCTTGTCTTTCGACCACTCAATGCGCTGTACACTACATTGCACACTCACCCCATTCACACACATTCATACACTGATGGCAGTTGCTGCCATGCAAGATGCCAACTGCTCACCAGAATGGAAACTAATCATTCATTCTAATCACTCATACACTGATAACAACATCAGGAGCAATTTGGGGTTCAGTGTCTTGCTCAAGGACACTTGGACATGCAGGCAGAGGAGCCGGGGATCGACCCGCCAGCCTTCCGATTAGTGGATGACCCGCTCTACCTCTGAGCCACAGCCGCCCCATATGTGAAGTACATTAATACAGTTCTGGTATTTTTAAAACTACAGGTGACACAGCATGTCCCCCAAAGGACCTTTGAGCCAACGGAACACTATCACAAACCGACACACTAAGAGCTAACTTACAACCAGTAATTCTGGTTAAGATCTAAAGATCAAGATGGTGCTGCAGACGGTCGCCTCGGTACTGCACTCTCGTGTTTTTGTTCTGTTCTCTGAGCTCTTAAAAGGGACATTGTGTAGGAATTTCTCCCAGCTAGCAGTGAAATTGTATTTTGCATTCAAACGAATAGTGCTCTCTCGTGCCTCGCGTATTCAAATGCATATTGCAACTACGGTAGCCGTTATGTACCAAGAAGCCTACCTGTCGAGGAGAAAGCAGGCAACTTCAGCGTCCCTTTGAAAGTCTCTCTCCTTCGTTAGCTCTTTCCACCTGGGAAAAGCTACCTCGATGATTCTGATTCTGATGTTTACCCTCGTTTTTTTGAATTCGCCGGTCACGTTGCCTTTTTAATTCCTTTTTCGGTGACAAGGATTCCTTCTCCTGTGGCTCGGCATAAGTATGATCCTCCACTATTAACTAAAGTGCAGTGCAGACTTTCAAATGTGCCGGGGCAGTGACAAGCGCCTCTCACTGATCTCCTTCTCCGTTATAGCTGGTTTCAGTCACGTGACACTGGCTCTGAACGAAAACGCGTTGTGGATTAGCTAGACAGGTAGGCTAGTGCTTTATGTCCCTCTCGGCGATTATAGTTTTTCAAAATGGCGGAACGACATGGAAGCCTCCATGGACTTGCCCGTCCAATGTATATACAGATAAGAAATTCTTCGCTTACGAGGATAAGTCAGATCATTGGCAGAGGTAATTTTACACCAATGAGGACACATTTATGAATGAAGACATTGATTTTAGCTAATAAAATCCTTAAAACACTACACAATGTCCCTTTAAACATTGGACTTTCCACTGCACAATCTATTGCTCAGATTTTTATTGACCCTGGAACTTTTCCGGAGTTGTTAGTTGGAGGAGCAGCAGCTGTCTAAGGGATTTGCTGGAGACACCGTAGACGCAGAGGGATCCGTCTGCAGAAAAACTAATCCATGCATTTGTTACTTCTAGGCTGGATTACTGCAACTCTTTATTATCAGGCTGCCCCAATAAGTCCATTAAGACGTTCCAATTAATTCAGAACATGGCAGCACGAGTACACAAGGATCATTGGTGCCAACCCACCTACCCCATATAAATAAAGATACCTGCACGTAAAATATTCATTTTCAGCATCCTTTGCACTCTGCACCATTGCATGTCTACGGTCTACAAATGTTTGTTTATAGATTTGTTTAACTGTATAGAACTGCACATATAAGTCTATGCCTTTTTTGTTGAACTTGCTCTGTTTATTTATGCTGTTAGTCTGTGTTTGTACATTGAGAATCAAGTAAAACCAGAGTCAAATTCCTTGTATGTGCACACATACCTGGCTAATAAAAGTGATTCTGATTGTGATTCTCAATAGTTTACTTCATATTTAAGCTGTAATGTGGAGGCAGTAGCAGGAACTGTCAATGTGTTTGACATCCTACTCACCCACTAGATGTAGGGTCTGGATCTTTGCAGTTATGGGGATGGTCAGTTTGTTCTCAGCGGGAATGGGAAAAGCCCCATTACGGTTGCGGAACTTTCCCAGTATGTGAACCTGAGGCATGTAGTTCCATATGGCTTCCACCAGCTCCAGATGGGATGTCTCCACACCCTGAAATGAGGTCAAATAAAGAAAAATCGTAAGTCAAGGTCCACTCGGAAGCTTTTTTACATTTAACCACACCTTGCAGTTGTCCTCAGTGTACAGAGTTGTCTTAATTGTAACGGCAATAGTTCACTTTTTTCCCCCCATCCATTGAAGAAGACGACACCATGCAGTTGAAAGCTTTAGAAAAATCTAGTAAGTACAATTAACAACCATTCTTAACCTAGGAAACAGTAGTTTGACAAAAAAATATCTACTTACGACACAATATACTGAACTATTCAGAGTTTGACAGAAGATCCAAGTCAAATGAAGTATATTCTTTAACAGCACAGTTTGTGTTTGATACAAAAGTTAAAAGGGCTTTTAAACATTTCTCAGAGTCTGTGCTTACTCAAGTTTAGGGTTAACTTACGTGGATGGTAAATGGTAAATGGACCTGTACTAGGATAGCGCCTTTCTAGTCTTCCGACCATTCAAAGCGCTTCATACACATTCACACACCGATACACAGCATCAGGAGCAATTCAGGGTTCAGTATCTTGCTCAAGGATACTTCGACATGTGGTGGGAGGAGCCTGGGATTGAACAAACAACCTTCCGATTAGTGGGCAACCCGCTCTTCCTCTGAGCCACAGCCGCTTATGTTGTCTCTCTAAAATCAGGCTAGCTGAACATAAAGGCAACAAAGTCGCTTAATGCATGGAACAGCTACCTGAAGAGGACCTACAATGCTTCTACAAGTACACTTTTTTCTTTAAAAGAGGCCATATTATGCTTTTTGGGGTTTCCTTGTGCTTTAGTGCATTATATAGATTTGTGTGTATGTAAAAGGTCGAAGAAGAGACAAAAACCAGAGACCATGGCAAAGAGCCTTACTGTCTCCCACAGAAAACACTGCTTCTGCACTGCCTGACACACCTGACGATGATTTCTTTTGAAGATACATTGTGAATGCTGTGTTATCGCTATGGTTTAGAAGAGGGACATTTTGCTATCGGCTTTCCGGGAAAGCAACTTAGTATCTAGCATCCAGACACTGTTATTATTCAGTTCAAGTGACTTTATTGGCATGACTACATACAATGGCTAAAACTGTTCCAAAGCATACGATCATAATAAATATAAATAAATATCTTTCTAAAACAATATTCTAAAACCAGACTCCTGCTACCTGAGACATTGCTGCAACTTTCTGCAGCGCTATAAAATGCTTTTATCAAGGCACAAACTTTAAAGTCTTAAACATCTTTAAGTCTATGAATAAAAGGAAATCCCCACACATGGGACGTTTACCAGGTTTAACGCCAGAAATAGCAAAAAACAATGTCAGACCAATAATCTGCTAAATTCATTCTGCCATATTTTATGCAAAAACAGTTACATGCTGCATAATATGTGACATACACTTATCAGTCATAACGTTATGACCACCTGACTTATATTTTGTAGGTCCCCCACCAGAACAGCCCTGACCTGTTGAGGCACTTTAGCAGCATTTCCTTTAGGTCCTGTGAGGTGGGGCCTCCACTGATCCAACTTGTTTGTCCAGAACATCCCACAGATGCTCGATTGGATTGAGATCTGGGGAACTTGGAGGCCAAGTCAACACCTTGAACTCTTTGTTGCGTTCCTCAAACCATTCCTGAACCATTCTTTGCTTTGTGGCAAGGTACATTATCCTGCTGAAAAAGACCATTTCCATCAGGGAATACCGTTTTAATAAGTGAGTGTACATGGTCTGCAACAATGCTTAGGTAGGTATGTGTCAAAGTAACATCCACATAAATGACAAGACACAAGGTTTCCCAGCAGAACATCGACCAAAGCATCACACTACCTCCGCCAGTTTGCTTTCTTCCCATAGTGCATCCTGGTGCCATGTTTTCCCCAGGTAAGCGATGCACATGGCCATCCACAAGATGTAAAAGAAAAGCTGATTGATCAGACCAGGCCACCTTCTTCCATTGCTCCGTGGTCCATTTATGATGCTCACGTGGCCATTGTAGGCACACTGACTGGTCTGCGGCTATGCAGCCCCATACGCAACAAACTGTGAGGCACTGTGTGTTCTGACACCTTTCTACTAGAACCAGCATTAACTTTTTCAGCAGTTTGAGCTACAGCAGCTTGTTTGTTAGAGCAGACCGCACAGGCCAACCTTTGCTCCCCACATGCCTTAATGATAACTGCAGACCAGGAACACCCCACAAGAACTGCAGTTTTAGAGATGCTCTGACCCAGTCGTCAAACCAAAACAATTTGGCCCTTGTCAAAGTTGCACAAATTCTCACACTGCCCATTTTTTCCTGCCTCTAACACATCAACTTTGATAGCAAAATGTTCACTTGCTGCCTAATAAATCCCACTGACAGGAGCCATGATAACCAGATAATCAGTGATCAGATCTGTAAATATGTAAATGGACTGTGCTTACATAGCGCCTTTCTAGTCTTTTGACCACTCAATGCACTGTACACTACATGCCACACTCACCCCATGATGGCAGTGGCTGCCATGCAAGGTACCAACTGCTCACCAGAACAGAAACTAAATCATTCATACACCAATGCACAGCATCGGGAGCAATTTGGGGTTCAGTGTCTTGCTCAAGGACACTTTGACATGCCGGGGATCGAACTGCCAACCTTCCGATTGGTGGACGACCCGCTCTACTTCTGAGCCACAGCTGCCCCAGATGTAGACATATCTGTAAATTTGTATATAGATCTGAAAATATGTGGACAAATCTGTAAGTGCAGACCCACAAAAAACCTTGGCTTCCCTGTCGTCAGACTGGTCAGCTGTATTCACAATGTGCTCAGCTAGCTCCAGTACCCAACTAAAATTAACTAGCTTGCTGCATAGTTTAACAATAAAGGTAATGTCATCTGTCCACCAGTAAACTAATCACAGAGAACAACCTACATCAGAGGGAAAACCAAACAATATTTTCTCCATGAAATGTCATCCACTTTCATCAAAATCAGTCAATAAAGTTGTGTGTTTGTACCATTGACAGTATATAAGGTTTGTACAGTCATTTTTGATCCAGCATTTTCCAACCTAATTGACAGATTTGTGGTCTCATAAACAGGAAATTAACACACACACACACACACACACACACACACACACACACACACACACACACACACACACACACACACACACACACACACACACACACACACCACACACACACACACACACACACACACACACACACACACACACACACACACACACACACACACACACACACACACACACACACACACACACACACACACACACACACACACACACACACACACACACACACACACACACACACACACACACACACACACACACACACCCCTCATCATTAAAACAGCAACCGAAGAGAAGGGACCAATCAGTGGAATCACTTGGTACAGGTGCATCTCGCTCAAACTACGTACTGACCAGCAGATTGGGACAGGCTTGTAGTGCCTCCAGAACTCCAGGTATACTGAAAGCCTCGTAGCCTCGGACTCGTCTCCTCTCCAGGTATCGAGGGTGGAGGCCATATAGCTGCTCCAGATCTGGCATCTTCTTCAAAAGGAGCAGAAAGCTGCTGTCGGTAAAGCCTAAACCAGAAAACACAATAAACACAGGTGAAGTGATATTGATAGTATTCCAGTGAATATGTTTGTTTGAATGAAGGATTGTCACAGATGTCTTGGGTAAAAGGATGATTATTATGTAAAGATAGATTCTTAGAGTATAGCTATACAAAATGTGGTGCTTTGGTTTTCTTCTGGCAGTTTTAAATTTAAAACCTCTCTGTGAACTGTAGGGGAAAGTCACTCAGAAGCTCTCCATGAGCTAGGCGCTCTCTCTAACACATTGTTTGCAGTCACATGATTCCAATGACGCTCGAAATCCAGAATAAGGCAGTAAGTGAAAGGCAGAATAGATGAGATTGAAAGATAAAGGCCTGTACTGTGCTACTTATTGTTTACTCATTGTGTCATCCCAACCTGTGTGAAATCGCTTAAATCATTCTTAATTCTTACAGCAAAAATGACCTTTGAGTTAAAAGTGAAACCAAATCATTATCTGACCAACTCCCCTTCTGTTACTGAGTTATGGTGTTGAATAATGGCCAGGACATTATGATGTCACAGTGAAGTTGACCTTTGGGTAAATAAAAATGTCATCACTTCGTTAAATAAATGTTGTCATAATCAGCGCATCAATTATTAAGTTACGACCAAAAACATGCTTTGTGTCGTTCAAGTGGATGTTTGTGCCAAATTTGAGGAAATTCCCTTTAGGCGTTCCTGAGATATTGTGTTCGATATTGTGGGTGGAATGAATGGACAGATATAATGCCATAATGTTGTACTGTAGCACTGAAGATGCTCTGAGTTATGTGTTTGTTAGGAAGCAGTGGTTGCGCTGTGAGCGCTTACCTGAAGGCATATACTCCCACCAGCGACCGGCACACAGGTCCACTACCTTTACCACTCGCAGGTACAGAGTGACAGCTTCTCGAAGCTTTCTGGACAGACACTCCATACACATGATGTCCTTCATGGGAAGGTACCTACCAAAAAAACAAAAAAACAAAAAAAAAACCCCCAAAAAAAACAAGGTTTGAACTTTCAAAACGTTCTGTAGCTTAGGCAAGTTAACTGTGGTAAGGTTGGGGCATATGACCATGTATATACCATGAGATAATAATTCCACGTTACCATTAGAGAGTCTGTAATACTGTTTATACTAAAGTAGCTGTTATACCAGTACCATTGTAGCAATGCAATGTTGAAATTTAATGAGCTGGACTGTCTCATGGCAATATTGGACTTTTATATAATTTTTGCATCAATGTGATGATGTACCTTGATTGTTCAGGAATATCAGACATGTATATTTAAATAAACACTCCGTTTATTTTTATCAACTGTGATATCACCAGCATCCTTATTTGTATGTACAGTTCCCCCCATTGTGCAAAGATCCTTCTCATAGCAATATACATGGCAATAAAAATACTTATATACTGTAGAACCCCATCTAGCCCTAGAGTATATTGTGAAGTACACAACAGAATGGTGTTGATTGAGGGCACTGTACCTGAATATATGACAGAGGACTTCATGGGACAGCTCATTGATGTAATCTTTGGGCTCACTGGGTCTCAGGACCAGTTCCGCTTCACCGCTGCCCCCTACAGGCTGGAGTTTAGAGGCCTTCCTCCTAGGACCCATCACTTGTGTGTCACTGGTCAGGCTTATATATACACACACACACACACACACACTTCCTCCCTCCTGCAGCCTGGACTATTTCCTGAGCATGAACCTCAGTTCTGGAAACCACATCAAAAAGGAAGACAAGTTAACAGGAGCAAGGGAAAGAGGATACAGAGACAGGAGGTTCTTCTCATTGGCACCATTTTATGCATCTGAACCAGAAACTCATCTGGTCTGCCATCATGAAGGATATCTCAATTTGCTTTAGGGCTGCGACTATTTTCAACATTTAATTGATTAATTTTTTGGTTCATAAAATAAAGAAATAGAAATCTTGATAGCTGTTTCCCAAAGCCCATCTTCAAATGTCTTGTTTGGTCCACAAACCAAAGATATTTGGTTTACAGTCATAGAGGACTGAAGAAAACAGAAACTATTTCACATTTGAGAACGTGAAATCACAAAATTTAAAAAATATAAAATATTGACATTTTATTTCACTAAAAATGTCTTCCCTTCTTTTCTTTGCACCTCTCCTAAGACACAAGGAAAAATTGCAAGTGAAGGAAATGTGGAGACATTTAAGACATATGAGAAGCATACAGAGCAGCGTTTCCTCTATGTTGATTTTGGAGCGGCAGCCCGCCATTGTTAAATTTCTGCCGCCACGGTATCAGAAATGGGGCAGAAGCACAATGTAGTCCCGGTTGTCTTTTAAATGATCCTGCCGACATAATGCACCCCCGTTGGCTGCCGCTCACATTGCAATTTAACAACAAGTAGAACTATTCAGAGGTTATTGGGGCGGTCCAGTTTAACTCCACATACTGTTGTGTTGATGTAGCTTATTGTCAAAACGTTCGCTTTCTTCCAAGTCGACTATTAAACTAACAGCTCCACCAAAAACGTCACCGCGGTGGGTCCGTTTTAATTGGACAACGTTCAACTTGTCAGTTCTCAGCTCAATGTCCTGATATCACACACATGGAAACATTAAAACAGTTCTGCATTTGTTTGTGTTGCAGCGAAGTGTCAGTTCTGTTTCATACATAAAACGGGAGGGAGGGGGGGTGTTCGGACAGGCCTGCCCCCACTGCTAAAAAAATCCCAGAGGAAACACTGCAGAGAGTAGGTTACAAAGATGCTAGTATCCCAGTTACCGGGGATCGCATGTCTAAATATTTAGAATAAGATGCATGCAATTTAGGGTCTTCCTGGATATTCCCCTCCCTTTCTACAGAACAACAATGAAATTATCCAGGTTTCTGAGGACTGACTGTACAGGTGTGTCTGTGTGACTGCATGACGACTCTGCCTGTCTCTGACTCTGTTGTATATGAAGCCTCTTTAATGTCTGGCTGCCTGGACATTGCTGCACTTTACCACTCTCTCCTGGAGTTCATTTCTAGTTATGCTGTTATAGGCCTAGGCTGCTGGGGGACTTCCCATGATGCACTGAGCTGCACACATTCATGTCCCATTAATGCATGTTACTAACTTCCCCAGAGTTTTAATGGTAAATGGACCATACTGTACCTGTATGGGCAAAGTCCATCGAACAGAAAGGATACTTTCTTCGACATGCAGTGGGAGGAGCTGGGGATCGAACCAACAACCTTCCGATTAGTAGACATATAACTTGATATGAATTGGCACTATACAAATAAAATTGAATTGAGTTGATGGAAGATAAGAGCAATAAACAATAACCAAATCATCCTCCACGTAAGCAGTCTGTTTAGGTTTCCACCAGAACTCATCTGTGTTTACCAGCTACTTAGTAACTTTGTCCATCTATGGTTCTTGGCTGGTAATTAAAAAAATATATATATTGTGAATTGGAGTTGGTGTGTCGGCATTACTTTTGTCATGTTTATTCTCTGATCAAGTAATGCCGATTTATAGGACAGCTCTTATTTGTTTTTAAAAAAACACGATCCGTCACAAGGAGTACCACTCAGTCTGTGGTGTGGCAGGGAGGCTCTATGGAAAGGTGCCATAGAATTGCATTATGGGAATTTCAAGATCCAGTGTCTTTGGACCACAACCCACACTACAGTATAAAGCTACATTCACACTGCAAGCCTTAGCACTCAATTCTGATTTATTGCTTAGATCAGAATCTTTTGTTTGGTAAATGGTAAATGGACCTGTACTTCTATAGCACCTTTCTAGTCTTCCGACCACTCAAAGCGCTTTTACACTACATGCCACATTCACCCTTTCACACACATTCACTCAGTGATGGCAAAGCCCATCTAAGAGAAACTAACACATTCATACACATTCATGCACATTCAAACACCGATGACGCAGCAAAGGGATCAATTCGGGGTTCAGTATCCTGCTTAAGGATACTTTGACATGCAGCAGCAAGGAGCCGGGGATCGAACCAACAACCTTCCGAATAGTGGAAGCTCTTCCTCTGATCTCACATTATTTGTTTAATGTGGTCCATATCAGATTCCAGTGTGAAGAGGTTACTATCCAGATATGACCCATATGATAAGCGTAAATCTAGAATCGCATAAAAGTCACATGAATTCTGATAAGAAATCTGACCTGTATCTGATTTGGTATGAAAGTGGCCCAAATCAGCATTAAAAAGATCAGATTCCATGTGATTGGCACTGTCATGAATACTGACAGCTAATTTTTTGTAATCTGTCAGCTGCGAGTCCAACAATATTATGGAAATGCAGTAATAAATCACTAAAGTACACATTCAGAATGTTGTTGATCTTTTGCATTATATTTGGACACATTTCTTATGCAACATATCATTAAACATGGTAGGATTTCAGATGTTTGGCATATATTATGGATAACAGAATATTTTCTTAGAATAGTGTATTCATGTTAAGCAAAGCAAAATTTCAAGAAGTATATATTTGCCAGGCGTATCTGTCTGACATTGGAGCAGCTGCACATGTAAACATAATAGTGTGAAATACTCAGTAAGTTATACCATTACTTTACAGAGAAATGCACAATAATTATCAGGGAAGCTACATTATCAGCCAATAATGGAAAATGTATATTATTATTATTATTATTAATAATTATTATTATATTTTGAATTCTTATGCAAAAAGACTGCTAGGCTTTATTTTCTATGAAAGCCAAAGTTTGGTTTTTTGATTAACTTTACTAGAAAAGTAAATTAACATTTAAAGAGTCAGAACTGTGTTGTTTTTTATTGCTGTTTACAATAGTGAGTTCAGTTATATTTGATTGGAATAGAGCAATGGAATATTAAAATCATCCATCTTTGCTCACTACATCTTAGCCTTTGCTGCCACAAAGTGTGTAAACACTACAGTTACTATCTGTTATCGTGTTGGCTGAAAAACAATCCAAATCGTGCATCCCTACTTTCCAGACATACTTCATTTCCAGATCAATGTGTGCAGGTGAAGTGTGAGGACATCAAGGTGCACAGTAAACGCATGTTACTGTAGCTGGGAACCAAAGCCAGACAAACATAAACAGCTATTCATGTGTCTTAGCCAACTGACAAAAGACAGTAACGTCAGATATGTGTACAAACAAGAGAACAAACGTTAGACTGAAGACGCCTCATTATTCCACACCTGTCAAACTCGTTATCATGCTATAAAGTTCAACCTGCTCTTTGTCAAAGCTAGCTTACTAGTTAGCATAGCCGCAGCTAACATTGTTCACAAAGACAAAACCACACAAGTAATGTTAAACAACACAGCAAGCACCTAACTCAAACTGTATCGCATTGAACAAGGCTTTTAGCAACGTGGCAAACCTACCGGTATTTTTCTATCAAAGCCACTGTGGTGTTGCTCTTCAGCCATCGTGTGTGTGCAGCAGATTTGCCGAACACACAGCTTCGCTTTATTTTTCCTCTTCTTCTGCTGCTATTTCTGGTGGCTACTTCTTCTTCTTTGGGTTTTAATGGCGGTTGGCAAACCAGCTTATAGGTGCATTACCGCCACCCACGTCTCAAATCTTCATTGATAATATAAACTTAGCACAACAAGTAAGGAAATTTGTGTTTGGTAGATTATTTCTCTGTGGTAACAATGCTTTTTGGTAATAAATCTTATACCGTTGGAAAGCCTGTTTAGTTCCCTTACAAATGGTGGCCCATTTGAAAGGAACATGCATTTGTGGGATGAGCAGCAGAGCTGATTATGTGGGTTGCGCCCGTGAAAAATTTGCCAAATCTTTTCTGCCAATGCCAAACAGCTTATTTTGCTGTTGCTATTGACACTTGTTTTGAGCTTCTGGTACCCCCAGGTGCTGCCAGTCAGGTTCCTGTTTGTGAAATGAATAAATTGTTAAATTGCCAATATGTCCTGTTTCTTCAAACTTCAATCATCCAAACGAGTCAATGGCAGAATAAGCTGTTTGGCATTGGCAGAGAAGATTTGGCTAATTTTTCATGGGCGCAACCCACATACTCAGCTCTGCTGCTCATCCCACAAATGCATGTTCCTTACAAATGGGGCACCATTTGAAAGGGAACTAAACAGGCTTTCCAACGGTATAAGATTTATTACCAAAAAGCATTGTTACCACAGAGAAATAATCAACCAAACACAAATTGTCCTTACTTACTAAGTTTAGAAGTTACAGACAAAACAGCATCAGAGCCAAGGGGGAACTTTAAATGAAAACATTAGACAAATAACACAAATAGAGGTTTTAGACATCACAAGTCCCTATAAGCAAATCATAGGTCAAAGTAATAGTTTGGGTCACGGACTCATTCTGGATGGGTTTCTGTGTGCGTGGTAAAAAAATCCATCCATTTTAAATGCTTAGCTGACAGAAAAGCTTGTTAAGTGATAACAGCCCGTTTTGTATGCCTCAACGTTACTTATTTTGGTTATGTTGTTTCAGAAGAAGAATCAGCAGCACACAGTTGTGATTTCTATACTCAGTGTATCATCAGGTAATGCGCTTTGATTGCAGGAATTAAAAAATGGGTATATTTCATGTAAAAAAAAAAAAAGAAAAAGACATTGTATATGTGTGTTTACTAGTTGTATGATGTTTTTTATGTTTATGTCTCTATGGTAAATGGTAAATGGTAAATGGACTGCCCTTTCTAGTCTGCCGACCACTCAAAGCGCCACATTCACCTATCCACACACATTCATACAGGGTCAGGGTTATATTTTTGGCCCACACTCCGGAGCAGAAGGTGGCGGTAATGCGCCTTAAAAATCTAACGTTAAAACAAGAAGAAGGAAACCGGAATGACAGCTCGTTGTGATTGACTGAGGAGTGACCAATAGGAAGCTGACAGGAGATTGTAGTGCGGTCGGTAGCAGCGTGAGCTGTGTTGCAGAATGTTTGGAAAACTTTCAATTTTGCTCTTTGTCTTCCTTTTTTTCGACAATGAGCCCACTGACGCACAGAAGAAAAAAGAGGTAACATGTTTTTAATCACATAAAGCAGAGAAAGTTCAGAAAATATCGGTGCGACGTTTCCAAATCTGACTGTTGTCCCTGCAATCTTAGAAGCTAAGCTAACAGCAACCAGAAATTAGCTAACGTGTATGGCATTAAGTAATTGATAGTTTTCAACAAATTCCATTGATTGGATCTTCACCCATACACACTGATAACGTTTGCTAAACCACAGCACAGGTTGTAAAGCGTTAGAATAGAATAGAATAAACTTTATTGTCCCCGAGGGAAAATTTGTCTTGGGCACAGTGCTACAGTTTGTTGCTTCACAGAAACAAGCATACCTCAACAACAGACACACATCAAAAAACAATTGCAATGTGGCAGCTTAAAAAGAGACTGCCAGAGACTATAAGAATTAAAGTGCTACGGTGCTGGTTTCTTTATTGCACTATGATTTAGATAAAGTCCATTCTCAGTGTATGGGCACTGGTGGCTTTAAGTTTCTACATCACACTGTACAAGTTGCATACTGGACAAGGATTGACTTCCAGACTATTTGTGATGTCACAGATCCACTTACACCATTCAAACATCACTCTGTAGGAACAGGAAGAAACACTGATTTCTGACTGAAGGGAGGCTTTTAGTAAATAGTTAAAGTTAAGTAATTAAAGCTAGTTATCTACTGTATGGAATCAAACAATGTGAACAGCTTATACGTTATGCCCCATTCCAATAAGTTTTAATAATTCAATAACACACATTCATTACTGTACATTACAAGGTTCTTATTTCAGTGACTAAGAGTTAAGTGGTGACATTTAGTCAAAACACAGTCTCAAATACCACTTTAACATTGTGGCTCTTACCAGAGGTCATGCATCATTTCCAAATGGTTAGGATCATCACGTGAGTCTGGCTGACAAACTACCAAACATTCTTTATTTTAGTGTAACATAAATACATTTATCACAGCTTTACTTTTCCCTAATTGCTACCTGTTTATAAGGATGTTTTGTTGAAAAGATGAGAGTATTTTATACATCAGGTTGCCGGATGTACGATGTATGATGATGAATGTAAAACAACAAAAAGGAAGTTTGGTTTTATTCCAGAGGCTGTAAGACTTTTGACCATCTGAGGTGGTCTGACATGGTCAGTTAACTATTTGTATAGCTTCATAAATGCATTTGCACTGTTTGACATGATGTGTCTTTGTAATATTGAAACTGTTGGTCAGCTATGGATTGGTCTCTGCCTTTATCACATTTTAAACAGTCATGAATATATTTTATGATGCTACATTGTTCTTATGTATAAAGTCATTTTTTGTGTGATTTATTTTTTATTTATTTTATTTAAGTGCACATGTTAACAGATTAGAGCAGTCAGTGAGTAAGTCGCACGTCTCAACTGCGGCAGTGCTTCACTAGAGAGTCCATGTCTCGCCTCGCTAGTTCCCAGCAAAAATACAGTGAAAAGGGTCTGTTCATAGTCATATAGACATTGTACCAGCAACATATACTTTTTAATAGAAAGGTGTATATGTTGTAGAATGTGTCACTGTTAGAAAAAAATATAAATGTATTTTTTATCTCAACACCTCCTATA